ATATCTATTTGTTAACGTCAGGATAACCTATGCATATCTCATATATCGTTTGTGGTATTTCACTAAGAAAGGAACATTAATTATAAAACGAAACATCGTGTTGTGATTCAATCCACCTCCAAAGAGAACTCCAAATTCAGCGTTTAATACAAGTAATAACCTCGAATGAAGATTTAGAAAACAAATTGTTTAGTGCTTGACAAAGATAATTCAACTTTAATGTAAACTTGAAAACAGAGGTAAATGATAAAGGATAGGGGATTAAAATCAACATTTTATTTGCACAAATACTTGAACTGTATAGATGAAATAACAATCATGAATATTTTACGTGGTCATTATCTACGCGACAGCAAAGAAAAAGCTTGACTATCTTTAAATCAAGATTGATTTCAGGCAACCTTTCTTGCATTGATGTTTTGATAATTCAAGCTTGAGTAATACCATGATCTTTATAAAGTAAGTTATGTTTCTTTTGCCATTTACACCGTGACTCTGAAAATACAATTATATGCATTTACTGACATACAATTCTTAAATGATCTTCAGTTATCTTCTGTACAGACCTTAACTCGATTTTAATTAAGTCAAAGACAGAGACACGGAGTTACCTTTTCAGTTAGTCCATTATACTTGAGTCTTTGTAAGGTTACGTTTGGTTTTGCCTGATAAGTTTCTATAAGTATTCTTACCTCATAGTCACAAGATTTATAAAATGTACATTTTAAACACTTTCACTGTTATGACAAAAAAGTGTGTTGTAATCTAATTTGTAAATTTGTAAATTTGTAAATACTAATACTAATTATGAACCAATATTTATAAAGAAAAATGAACAGTATAGTCGCCGAGCCGTGAGACCTGTAGATTAAAGAAGCTTGGTTGCTTTAAATGCCCGTTCTTACATTAAGAAATACACAGGTTGACATTATTGGCTAATCCTCCATTGTTTAATACAAAAAAGGTCGTTACTTTTGCATTGGACAATTAGGTGTAAAAAAGTATAGACAATAGCTCTCAAATATCGTATAAAACCTGTCCGTTCTTACCTTAGAAAGGTCGTCAAGATTATTATTGCATGCTTAGCTGAAAGTTGTCATTTATGTGTGAATAAGTATAGACAATAGCTATCAGATATCGTGTAAAACGCGTACCAGTCTACTATACAGGGTGTGACTAGATCTTATTAATAATACAGGGTGTTTGCCACACGGTAGAAAAGTGTGGTTATTTCGTACATATTATATACCAATAATCAATTTAAGATTTAATCACTACTGACATGCAAGTATGTGTCATTCAATCAGTATTACCATGACTGGTAAGTTTAAATTTAAAGCAAATGTCGACAAGACATTAAACATCTTCAAATAAAATTACATAACTGATTTTTGATGGTTAATACAGGATTAATCAAAAAAAAAATTTAAGGACTTTTTATTAATTTTCAAGAACTATTCAAGTTGCTTAAATCTTTATGATCATTCAGGATCTTCATAAGGCATACTGATGTAACAAAAGTTATAAAACAGTTTTATTTCTGAAAAAACTACCTTTAAAACAGATTTATTTGCATTTACATTGAACAAAAGTTTCCAGTCACTTTGGATGTCAATTGATTTATCTACCTGTATACGAACAAAGCAGTTTTCAGTCACTTTAAATGTCAATAGATTTATCGGTCTGCATACAAACAAAACAGTTTCCAGTCACGTACATAAACTCTTATGTTTGTAAGACTTAAACTCTTTTAATAATTTTGAATATTTATTGTCTAATAGCCATTTACTGACAAAAACGCAATTATATTTAGGACCACTTATCTAAAATTTGTTGTGTTAAGTTTTTTTGAAAAATTATTTATAGCACTGAAAACAACGATTCAGGGCCATCATGACCCTCTTGTATTAACTTGGGCGGCACAGATTACGGTCCTGTTCAACAAAATGATCGATTGATTATCCACTTATCGCTCTGGCTGGGTTCGGTCCCGGGATATTCTTTGGTAGATTAGCACGGACGAAGGTAGTCTAGTACTGGTGTAACTCTCCAGGAACGATAGTTAGGTAACTTCCCGCATATATGACTGAAATAGTGTTGGGGAAAGGTGTAAAATGAAACAAACAAAACAAACAATTTCCTTTTAAAGTGTGTACAAGAGAGCATAAAACATTTAGTTTGTAAATAAAGTGAAACAGTAGAATATTGACGCTATCATTATATTTGATTTCTTTTGTCTTCAGGGTTTCAAGACTTTATAGACACAAGATGCAAATCTGACAAGATATGCCCCCGACGAAAAGTCGAAATGATAGGCGGATATTGCGCTTCATACATGTACTCGACTACTCTTTCAATGTTTTTGTACACTATTTAACATTTTAAATGATTACAATGTTGCATTATATTTCTGTAGGTTCCAGTCACGCAAGCGTCGTCGGTTTCTACATATGAGAAAGCTATCAAGCTTACTTACGTAACGTCGCTTGTTCTAAATAGGTGCCAGTTTTTGCCTGGAATCATGTTCATGTCTTTATCTCACACTATCAAAACAACAATATGCTTTTTGTTTAAAGAAAATTACACATTCTGGGGAGAGGGTCAACAACAGCAGGTGTCAAGTGCTGTGTGGCAGCTGTAAAAAGTTGCCCCGTACTTCACTTCAGTGTTGTTATTTTTTCTGGTCCTTCGGGATCATTGATGCGAGCACTATTAAGTGTTGAGAATTGAGTACCGCTCAAGCCGGTGCTAGGGGGCGTGAGGGGTGTTACACATTTCCGTTATCCATCATGTACAGACTCAATCAAACCAAGTCTGCAATTCTCTTGTAATTTTGTTATGATTAATGCTTCCGAGGGATCACTTTGTTTCCAGAATTTTTCTTCGAAATTTGTGTTTCATTTCATTTAAATCATTAACCAGTAACCGCTTTATAAATTCTAACATACAAAAGATTTATATAATTAACACGGTAAACTGTCGTATTTTATATTAATTTTAAGAGAAGTGATTTGATTCTAAAAAGCTTATCAATCAAATGCGCGTATCTTGAATACCGCAACGCGTCGTAGGGGAACGGAGACACTAGCTAGAAGACTAAAAAATGGTTTTTCGCTAATGTTTAATTTACATAATTTTGTAGTCTGAATTGTGTCCATATCATGTATATTCAAAATTATCAAATTGACCAGGTCCGATGGGATACAGTAAAGTGTTACCCTTCTTATTTCCGTTAGATACTACATAATCATGCAAATCTGACCAGAAATATAAAGAAAGGGGAAATGATTCACTAAATGTTCAGCATTGGTTTGTTTGTAAGCACAGTGTCTACTTTAACTAGCTCAAGCACAGACTCGCGTTCAAGGAAAAATGTAATTTATTAGAATAGAATCACGCTTTCTAGTTTAAGCAACCAACCGTAGTAAGGTATCGACACTTTAAGCTCTTAAATACAGATTTAACTTTCCGTCTCACAATTTAATTTACAAAATGTCCAGAAATACCGGCAGTGGTTTGATATTATTAAGAATAAGTTTGAAGTGATACGTTCAATTAGGGACAATTAGTCTCGAAGTATTAGTTGATAGAATTTCTGGTCCTTTGCGATCATTGAGTCCAGCACTTTTAAGTGTTGAAAATTGAGTACCGCTCAAGCCGGTGCTAGGGGGCGTGAGGGATGTTGCACTTTTTCATTATCCGTCATGTATAGACCCAATCAAACCAAGTCTGCAATTTACGTGTAATTTTGCTGTTTTTAATGCTTCCCAAGAACTTTTTAAGGTGCATGCTAATAAACCCATAGCACCATAGCATCCTTAAATCAAGTTTTGCATACCATGTTAATATTTTTTTATTTTTTTTTTGTAATGACTAGATCTATATGCGATAATATGAATTTGTTAAAGAAACGAACGAAAGGATGAACAACATATGAAATGCGAGTTTAAATATAGTAAACTTTATTCTGCGAACGATAACAAACAATGCTGATATTAGTGGTTTTAAAACACGGTTCTCATTTATAGATGTGTCAAATTGCCGTTTAAATAAAACTGATTATTATGTACTTATAAATGAAATATTGATGAAATAAATTGTGTATTTTCATTTTCCGTTTTTTTCACTGCAGTGAAGCATATTTTCCGTATTTCCACTGCATCGAAACATATTTTCGTATTTTTACTGGTGTCTTGCCGGACTACTTTTGCTAATTTCAGCCAATATACAAAATTGAAGGGGAGAGTCTTTCAAACTGTGTTGTCAAAAATGAAAATTGAAAAAAATATATCATCAAACAAAACATTCAATTTTTTTCTATAAATACAGGATTTATTTTCATCTTGTGCTGTGAAATTTTCATATTTCACATATGGCTACCGCCACTCATGAAACACTTATTTTAATACCACTCAATGAAAATAAATCCTGTATTTATAGAAAAAACAACTTAAATACCGTCTTTTTTCATATACTTATAAATGAAATATTGGAAAATATTGATGAAATAATATGCGTATTTTCATTTTCCGTATTTCTACTGCAGTGAAACATATTTTCCTTATTTTCACTGGTGTCTTGCCGGACTACTTTCTTCTAAATTCAGCCAATACACAAAATTAAATAGAAATTCTTCCTATTTCATAAGGTTAAAAAAGTATATAATAAACAGAAAATTCAAGTTTTTTTTTTCTATTAATACAGGATTTATTTTCATCTTGTGGTATGAAAACCATCATAATTCACTCATGGTTACTGCCACTCATGAAATATTTATTTTCATACCACTCAATGAAAGTATATCCTGTATTTATAGAAAAAATCTTGAAAACCATCTATTCATTATTATATGTTAATCGTAATGTCAAAAATGACAAGAATGTTTTGCAACAGTAAGATGACGTCACCTAAAGACGTCATTTGACAACGTCTCCTAGCAATACCAGAAGTGAGGGCTGAAAGATATCCATGATGGGCGCTGTAATTTGCTATTAGCTGAAATGTCCTCACATAATATGAGAATCATAAAAGTTGAGCCCTCAGATGGTACGGGATCTTTACCCCCAGTGAGGGCAGATACAAAGAAACTTATGGAACAACAGATTATGCTGGCAAATAAAAGAAGTCAAGTTTTTACTTACAAGGGACCAGAAAAGACCAGAAGTCGTTCTGTACCCGACAGAACATTTAAAGAGGCCCAGTTTACGTATGCACGGGAACAGAGTATTCCTAGGACTACAGAGGCGAGATATCGGGATGATTTTTCGGATTCAAGTGACGAAGAGTTAGAAGAGGAAGAAATAAAACTAACGAATACACAAGAGAGGGAAACAGAACAACTGGCCGCTTTGGAATACAAAGAAGAAAAACAACGACAGTCCATGGCTGTATCAACGAATAAAGGGGTAGATAGTTTAAGCAAGATCATGAAAACGAAACGGAAAATAAGGTAAACCTCGATTTTCACTTCTTAAGAATTCTCTTTTTTCTCAGCAAAATACTGTTGTACTTAATGCAAACTAAATTTGAAATGATGATATATTAATCCCAGGGATATCATAACATTTTGTATGAAAATATCTTGACTTACACTTTTATCACTTTTATAATGTGTAATGTTTATTATGTATTTCATTAGATGTAAACGTCTCCGCGAGGTGTTTGACATTCATGGAAGATAGATATTATATTATGTTTATGTTTACGTTATGTTTATATTTATATCTATATTTATTTTCATATTCATATCCATAATATCATATCATATCCAATCATATCATTTATCATGCAACTGCTATGGTAACTGCCTGATAACACTTGCCTGATACAGAGGATATTGAATGAGTGTAAATTCAATCCTGAATTTATTGCACGAGTTGAATAAAATTATATTATGCGAGCCTCTGGCGAGCATAATATTATTTTATTCAACGAGTGCATTAAATTCAGTAATGAACTTACACGAATTTAATATTCTATTTATCATATACCCAAATTAAAACAGTTTAAAGTGAAATAAGAATCATTTTTCATTGACGCGCCTATAGTATAACGCTAAAATTTAGCGCGTCTTTACACTATGTTTGTATAACGCTAATGACGTCAGGTCAAAATATATGCACGGCCGTGCAATACCATATTTACGGAGTCGCAAAATCGGCACGGATGTGTGATAAAATTATTTTTGCCATCAGGTCAGTAACCTGATATCAAAACTAAGCTCCACCCATTTTAACGGACTTTTTTCTATTGCTTATATTCCCATATATCAGCATGTGAATTCTACAATATTCAAGATGCGATATTTATTTATTTATTTTTTCGATTTCAATTACGAATAAATTAGATAGCGAATAGAATTTTAAGCATCAACTAGATGAAGTGACGTCATAGTAAATATATTGCACATGATATCATCGATGTTCACGTCATGTAATCATAACAAACAGGCTAGACAATTTTCTTTGAAAACTTGTAAATGTTTACTTTATTTCGCCGGATTATAATTTAAAAAGTGAACAAATGGTTTCGTTTAAAAAATAAGACGCATGTTTATGTAGTTTGTGTTTGATTGCCGATTTGACTTTTGTTTGATTAAAATTATTGTGAACTTATGGAATTGATAATTCTTGAAACAAAAGTGCAGTAAAGTTTATGTGAATCTTAGGGATTTTTTCGATCGATTTTTAAAGGTAAGAATATTATCGTGTTACATTATGTTGTATCTTCTATGACATGAAATAATGTCGAGTCGAAAGAAAAAATGGCCGCCATTTATAAATTCAAAGTTTCAGGGGCGGAGGAATTTGTTTTCAAGAATTAGGAGAAATGCCCATTTCTAAGAAATTCGCTTTTTGTAGGGGAATAATGAAAATCGTCGAAACGTGTCAGAATATTGTTTTTATGAATTTTTATTGTGCAAATCAACTTGCATTGATATTTCTAATGGGTTGTAGCAGGGCCTTCGGGGGTAAGGGGGCCCGGGATAATGTCAGATCACAGCGTCTTCCCCCTGTGGCTCTGCTGATATTAGTTCTGGCTTCCAAAACTTTATAAGCCGCTTTTTAACATGTTGTTTTTCATCAGATGCGGCACGTCATGTCATATATATAAACGGGTACGCTGAAGACCTTAAGCTAGGCTGATATGGGCAAAAAGGGCTCGGCAAGCCTCGCCCTTTCTAGCCCATATCAGCCTCGTCTGATAAAATTGATATCAAAAGACAGTAGATCTAGCATGTTATTCTCTATATATCATATAATATCATTTCTATATCATATCATACATCATATCATATCATACATCCTATCATATCATACATCATATCATATCATACAATATATCATATATATCATACATCACATCGCATCGCATCGCATCACATCGCATCGCATCGCATCGCATCACATCACATCACATCACATCACATCACATTTTATTTTATTCTATTCTATTCTATTATATTATATTATATTCTAACACTATCGGAAATAGTTCTATATAAACAAAGAAGGCCCGAAGCGTGCATTATTCTACATTCTAACACTAGCGTGATTTTGTCACTATAGACAAAGAAGGGAAAAAAACTGGTGTTAAACTGACAATAAACACCGGTTAGGGACTACTTGTATATGCGCTGTTATGTTTTCACCCTCGATTGTATAGTTTACAAAGCATTTTAAAGCAACAATAAAAAGCATTTTTATTTATATTTTCAGTTATTATAATGTTTTCTTTTCATACAATACCGAAATAATATCTCACATACACTAACGCCACATATAAGATCCATATCAGTTGATAAATACTTTGACAAAACGGCGCCAATCCGTAAGCAGCGTAAATGACGTCATCGTAAGTAAACAACTCTTTCTTAAACAAGGCTGTGACTAAAAAAAGGATTGGAGCACCACACTAAATACCGTATTCCGGTATATACCGGACAAGGCGCTTGAATGATAAAATGCTAAAATCTCGCCTTTTTACCCAACGGAATGAACTTAAACAGGTCTAATTCATCTTTTCACACCGAATTAAGTACGATAATGAAGGAAAAATATAAAAATCGGCGAAAAAAACGATATTTGTCTATTTTGTGATCATTATTTCTGCAAGCGTCCAGAGGTACTGCTCCAATCCTGTATTGAGCTAAATCCCTTAAACAAGTTGACGTTATTTCATACATACAAGAATGATAAATGGTGCACTGATGTAAACACGATACGACGTAAGCTTTTATTGTTGAAAACTTGATAAAATAACGTTTTTTTTTTCTTATTATTTCTTTTGTTTGATAATTTCTATATCTTCGCAACAGTAGGGTGCGAAAATCGAACAGCGTTATACGAAAATCGGCACCGGAAGTTATTTCCGCTTGTAACATTAGTTTAGTGATTTTCCTTATTTTATCGTGTTAGAATCGAAATAACATCGGCCGGAGAGGTGTAAATCGGCTATTTAACACCGATTTTGTCGTTTTGATGCGACAAAATTAACCACTCAGGCCTACGGCCTTCGTGGTCAATTCCTACGCATCAAACTCCAAACCGGTGTTTATTGGTTCAAATGCTTTGTAATTAATCACTCAGGCCTATCGGCCTTCGTGATTATATTTCTACGCATTTGAACTCAAACCGTGCATTATTCTACAACAATGCACTCAGATTTGATATCTATTTTCTAATTATATCACGGACAATTTTTCAGAATTCTGGCATTCCTAATACAATGGCCTACAAAGGGGTTTTAGTAAGTTATATCGGCAATATCCCGGTATAGTCCTCCCTAGGACTTATCTATTTCTTTTAATGTAAACATATTACATATGTACAATATGTACTGTTGAAATACAGAGCACATTTGGTATATCTCATTGGTTCCAGACGAACGTTCTTGTTTTTGAATTACTGCTGAATAGCTTTTTTGTCAATTATTATTGATACTTAAATATTTCGGATTGATTTCATTCTTTTCACGTAAATGATGATCAAGGAACAAATTAATTTGTTTTGCTGAATTTATATGGCACATGTTTGAAAACTATTGGATACAATTAATGTAAGAGACACTATATTTGTAATACTATCTCACTCGGGATTTCTATTAATTTGAAGGAAAATGAGGAAATTGATAAAAAAGATCAATTTGTAAAAGGAGAAAAGGAAGACAGTGCAACCACTACCAAAGAATCTGACCAAAGAAATGATAATGACAAGAAGAAAAAGAAGATTAAGCTCCCAAGTTGTTTTGGTTTCATTTCAACTTGGGTTGCCAAAAGGAAGGAGAAACGACGCGAAAAGAAAAGGAAGGCTATAGCTAGCCGCGCTCCCACGCCAACGCTAGGTAAGTACTTAGTACACAAACACATCTCACTCGCATTTTGTGACAGAAAAATATATGAATTATGTTTCCTGTTTTTTAAGTTTATTATCGTCATACTTTTATTTAAAGAAAAGAAACATGAAATATTCGACTGTGTATTGAGAAGACACAAATTTTTAAAGTATTTAATAACATAATTCATTGGCAATACTATTTCTATTTTAGTTCAATATGAGCATAGAAAAGCACGTGGCGGGGAGTCTTTTGTCATTGAAGTAGACTGCAAACCAATACAAATGAAGCCGATATTGCCGCCAATTAAGAAAGCTGACGGACCTGTAAGTATAAACCTCATTTTGAATACAACATACTTCATTTGCTTCCGACTGAAAATATTTCTGACGTATAGTTGAAAATTATATACATATATTAATAAGATATGTTATGTAACTGCATTTTTCGCTATATAGTCAGTATATCAAACTGTTAAAATTTCCCCTATAAACGATTCGTGGCTTCGTCCAGACTGAGATTCATTTAAGATACGTAATTAGCATATTAAGAGTTAAAGACATTTCAAATTTGCCCTTTGATCTCACCTTAAAGATTATATATTTAATCTACAGCGTAAAAAGTTATATTTAATCCAATGTATATATCCGGCAAACATTGCTATGTAAGCAACGGAAAAAAATTAACTATGCCGAGTATTGACGAATATACGATGAAATTGTGTATTGCTTAAAAATTTCTATAAATTCGCAAGACAAACAGCATAACTATATGGAATAGCCAATAGGCTATGATTTCAAACTGTGGCCTTTTATGTTTAGTTTTTATAGTATTACTACAAATATATACAATTTAGACAAAATTGTGAATTTTCAAAAGGAAAGTTTGAGTTTGACTTTAATGTTTTTTACATCTTAACAGATACGCCTAGCTTGTGAGGCTCGACAAGAGAGAGCCGAGGCCAAAAGAAATGAGGAGCTTTTCAAAAAGAAAGAACTAGCAAAAGAGCACCAGAGAAAAAAGTAACTTCATTTATATTACCTAACAACAATTTGATTACATATACATGTAATAAATAATAACACAATATAACTTATTTCAAGGAATGTTCACCTAAATTTGGAATAAGAATTATCATATTTCGCACGTGTACATTTTCGATGTGTTAAAATTCATATTATTTAAAATATGTATAGCATTTAATTACTCCAAATATATCATTAACAATACACTAGATATATATCATTTACATTACACCAGATATTCTATGACTAACATCTTTACATTACTTCAGATATATCATTAACAGCACACCAGATATATAAAACTTACCTAACACCAAATACTATATTTATCATTTACATCACACATGCTACTATATTATTTACATCATATCAGAAACTATATCATTAACATCACACCAAATAATATATCATTTACATCACACCAGATACTATATCATTTACATCACACCAGATACTATATTATTTACATCAAACCAGATATTATATCATTTACATCACGCCAGATACAATTACATCACACCAGATACTATATAATTTACATCACAGCAGATATTATATCATTTACATCACACCAGATACTATATAATTTACATCACACCATATGCAATATCAGTTACATCACACCAGATACTGTATCATTTACATCACACCAGATTTATATCATTTACATCACACCAGATATTATATCATTTGAATCATACCAGATACAATATCATTTACATCACACCAGATACTATATCATTTACGTCACGCAAGATACAATAACATCACACCAGATACTATATTATTAACATCACACCAGATATTATATCATTTACATCACACCAGATACTTTATCATTTACATTATCCAGATACTATATCATTTACATCACACCAGATATTATATCATTTACATAACACGAGATACTATATCATTTGCATCACACCAGATATTATATCATTTACATCACACCAGATATCTTATTATTTACATCACACCAGGTACTATACCATTTACAACGCACCAGATACTGTATCATTCACGTCACACCAGATACTATATAATTAACATCATGTTAGAAACTGTATTATTTAAACCACACCAGATATCACAACAGATATTATATAATTAACATCACACCAGATAGTATATAGTTTACATCACACCGGATACAATATCATTTACATCACACCAGATACTATATCATTTTCATCACACCAGATAGTATATAATTTACATCACATCAGATACTATATTATTTACATCACACCAGATACTATATCATATACATCACACCAGATACTGTATCATTCACGTCACACCAGATACTATATTATTTACATCACACCAGAAACTTTATCATTTACAACACACAAGATACTATGTTATTTACATCACACCAAATATATATCATTTACTTCACAACTGATACAATATCAATTACATTACACTGTATAAATATCATTTCAATAACACCACATACTGCATCATTGATATATCGCCAGATAATAAATCATTAACATCACACCAGATACTATACGCTTTATATTTCACAAGATAATATATTATTAACATCACAACATAATCTATATCATTTACATCATATCAGATACTTCATCTTTTACATTACACCATCATCTATATCATTTACATGACATGATAATATATCACACCAGATTCTATATTTTTTCCATCACACAAGATATATATCATTAACTGCATAACAGAAAATAGATCATGAACAAACACCCACTACTATATTAATATCATCAACATCACCGTCAGATTGATTATCGTTTACATTACACCAGATACTATATCACTAACATTACACAAGATATTATATCATTTATATCACTACATATTCTTTATTACTAACATTACACTATCAAATATATCATTAACATCACACTAGGTACTTTATTTTTACATCACACCAGATACTGTATCATTTACATTACACCAGATAAATAACATTTACATCACACCAGATATTATATCATTTACATCACATCAGATACTATATCATTAACATCACACCAGATACTATATCATTTACATTACACCAAATACTATATTATTTACATCACACCAAATATTAAATCATTTACATCACACTAGAAACTATATCATTTACATCCCACTAGATATTATATCATTTACATCACATCAAATACTATATCACTTTCATCACAACAGAAATATATACTCTACGTTACTCAACGGGATTGATCAACATACAATTGTCACATTTTTCCTTGATATTTTTAGGATTGAATGCAAGCAACGAAAGGACGAGTCCGAACACCGGTTTCAGGAAAGAGTTCGACTCACTATCAGATATAGACAAGCAGACGCCGAAAGGAATAGGAGCCGCATGTTGTCTCAAAGAGCCAGTATAAGCCGGATGTCAACCAGAGCAAGAAGCTCACTGGCTGTTTCCTCCTCCCCAGAGTCTGTCGATGAGGGCAATAAGAACGCCCTCAAGGACGGCAGCTCTCACTAGATTTTAGGCCGGCCGACACTCCCTATAAATAGTAGGCCCATACATTTTGCTATTGTCACGTGATAGGAAGTTTTCTTCAAAAAGACTACAAAATTCAACAATTTAATCTCCTTTTCCCAGATCATTTTTCATTTTATAACGTAAAACTTCTTTTTTCATTTAATTATCAGATGACATTTTTTTATATATTCGTTTTCAGCCTTTACTTTTGTGATAATTCTATACGAATTTCAAATCATATTGTTTGTAACATATGTCCATTGCCAATTTCTTCATTACCATTTTTTAGTTTGTTTTCACTTCCTTCATTTTCAAAATCCTGCTTTGGAAAACAATACAATATACAACAAGTAAATATCATTTCGCGCGTAGTCTTGATGAATTTTTAAATTACCTAATTCTGTGAAATTTCAACTAAATAGTAATATTTTTATCACTATTTTCATAAACAATACATTTTCGGTATATTATTTTATCTAAATGAGAAAACATTACAAAGTTTACATTAACCTTCCTCAATTGAAAAAAATAAAGTATTTGTTTTAAAATCTTTATAACAACCCGACCGTGATGAATATCACCTGCCTTGAACAAAAAAATACATAAAACCACGAAAACAAGTATCAAATCTACTCTTTGACCTTGATTTATCAACGTCAAGTATGATGATACTTGCAAAAATAAATACAGAAAACCACGAAAATAAGTATCAAATCTACACTTTGACCTTGATTTATCAACGTCAAGTATGATAATACTTACCAAAAAAATCTCATCTCATTTTATCATCCAATCATTCATGTATTCATCAAAAACTCCAAAAAAACAAGGCATAGGTCTTTTACTTACAGTTTAAGAAAACTCTAAACCTTTAAAGATTCATGTACATTTGTACATTAATTTTCTTATCATCCGTACGTGTACATTGCAATCATTGGTTTGTAACATTTCTAAGTTTCTTTAATTTTCCTTTTTAAAATCTGGATAGTAAAAAGACGCACCTAAATCATTCAGTATATTTTTGGACATTCTCATCTTAGCAACAAGGAAATAAATATTTTGGTAAAACACTGTACATACTATCTTAAATGTTTTTTATACAAATAGTTTTACATATCTTTTGATAATTCATCATAATTATGTTATTGAAATGATTTTTTTTTCATTTGTATTAACAGTTAAAAACAATATGGCTATAAATATTTTTGATATTCCTAGTTTTATTATTTAATGACTTTTCACGTGACATTGCTCTGATATTTCAATTGGCCTGCTGTTATAGGGATGTTGTCGGCTGTGGTTTTTGGCATTTCGGCATTTTGTTTTCAAACCTTACAAAATATATCTCCCTCTCAACATTGCACATTTGATATTAAGACTTAAAATAGGTATACCAATAAAATAAATACATCTACTGTTTACTTTACACGTTCTCCTAATACATGCATATATAAATAAAACAATTTTGAATCACAAGCATACTGAACTTGTTGTTGTTGTTTTACTACCATTTTTCTCGGGGGTACAAATCATCGCAACATGTAAACGATATATCTTGATCAATATTGTAGACGTACACTGTATATCAGGATACAATTCTTAGTGAGTTGATATTATTGGATTTAAACATTTACTAATTTAGTAGTTCTAAAGACATATTATGCCTTAGAAACAAAAAGTTATTTACTTCTTTAGAAAGGGCAAATATGAATTTTATAACATTTAAATATTAGTTTTAGAGCATGTAAGATGCTTGTAACATGAAATAGAGATGAATGTGAAATAATTTGTCATAAACCTAGCGGATTGTAAACAAAGAAGACATGCATTTGGAGCACGTCTTCCTGTATGACCGTGAACACGTGGTTTAGCACTGTGTTCTTCCATATGGTGTTTGATATTTCCCAGTTGCCTGTCTTTTATATCAAAGACCACCAGAAAGGTTTCAAGGCACATTTTTTCTCCATCAAAAAATATTCATAACGGGAGCGTTTGCGATCTTCTTTACATCTTATGTCAGAGCTTATCTTTTTAAGAGTGCCCATTATAAGCATTTTTAGCGTCTCTTTTTTGTCATTTCCTTTAGATTAAGAATATTTGCTTCGATCTGAGGAAAGGATAAGTACCTGAAGCAGTTTTTTGAACATTTTCAGCCACTGTCATAAATAAGTTTAAAATTATCAATGTTGCTCTGCGGATCATCACTATTTTGGTTAATGTCAGCATTACATTAACAGGATCGAAAACAAGACTAGCTGTAAAATATCTTTTGAGACTCAATGGATATATCTGGTGTCTCTATAACTTCATTTTCACTTTCATTTCGAATGGCTACTGAATAACACGTGTCTGCCTGATGTGATAAACCGAAACTTGACAGAAGATCAGCTCCTGTAAAAAAGATATAGAAATACCTTTTAAATCTCATTAAGTAATATTAATAAGAAGTTATCTTTAAAAAAATGTAAGAAGAAAAAAACAAGGCAGTTGCGAGAATCGAACCCATGACTAACGAGATAACAATCCGCGACTCTAACCACTGGGGTACGCATTTATATACATTTACAGTGTAAAATAAATTACCAATATTTTGATATGGCAAAAGTTTATCAATTAACGTTACAGTTTCTGTTTCAACTTTTCTTCTTTAAGGGACGGGGTGCAAGGTGACGGGAAAGAAAAAGTTATAATAGATTTAAACTAATGAAAACATTACAATTATTTATTACATGTTTTGCAGTAGATTACTGAATTATAACGGTTAATTATATTCTGATAATTTCACAGTAATGATTACCAAATATAATTTCACAGTAGCCGAACTATATTTGGCGTAAAAATAAAATATCTATCATTAATGAATGTTTTTTTTCAGCGGAAATGTAGTCAATCATAATAAAAAATGTACGTGATAACTGTAGTTCGTAAATATTTAAGAACGTTGTGCTGAAAAACATCTAAAATCTAAAAATAATCATGGAATTATATTTTGCTTCAACATTGTGACGTCATTATTTGATGACGTCATGAAGATAAGAGCATGACGTTACGCGGCAAAAATCAGTAAAATGGTGTAAAAATCGTTAAAAAATCATGAAATAAACAGAAAATTTGTTTGTTTTACATGTGAGATCAAATAATATTTCACTCGTGAACCCCAGCTATTATATTTTCACTCGTGGCTACGCCACTCGTGGAAAATATTGCATCTGGTGTTCACTCGGTGAAATATTTTTCGATCTTACACTGAAACAAACAAATATCCTCTATATCTTTTTCATTAAGTTTAAGGCCTTTTTAAGAATATTTTTTAAAACGAGAATGGCTCATACTTGTCGGTTTGATTAAGGTGAGACCCACCTAATGCATTACCTCCACTTTGAAGAGTACTCAAATAGGCTAGAACTACTGTCAACTGCATTGAAACTGAGGGGCGCGGGTTCAAGCCCCGGAAGAGGCAACTTTTTTTTTTCTTTCTTTTTTTTTTCTTTGAACATTATTTGTGTCTCTCAGATCACTCTTGATAAGAAAAAAGTGTTTTATCTCAATTATAAAATTATTATTGGTATTTATTGGCTAAATTATGTCAAATTTATTATCAAATATGGTACCTTGTATTTTCAAAGTCTAATAAAATAAAAACTAGACGGTAAAAGTATTTTATATTTGATAAGCGCAACCAATAAACCTGTTAAAAAATGTATGCAACTTTTGAAAACAGCCCCTGATTTGAGTAAATTTTAGGTATATTTTGAATAAAGCCCTCCAAGTAGAAAAATGAACAAACAACTTCTTAAAATGGGTGGGGTAGGGTAACATTTATATACATATTTCAAACATTTTGAGTAGAAACAATAATTTTGCTGGGTCATTTATTAGCTGAATGCTATTATTTGTTTCTTAAAAAAATTCTATAGGAATACATTAGATCTAGTTCATAATGATTATATAATAGAATAATTAGAGTTTCCCATTTCTGAAAAAGAGCCCTCTAATAGCCAAGTTTTTCTTTAGAAAAATCTCCATAACTCGTAAACCTTACGGTAAACTTTGTTTAAATTTTGCATTCTTGTGTCTTTTAAGGTATACTCAGTGGACATGTCCTCGATCAATTTTATTGTAAAATTACACCCAAGAAATTAAACTTGCCCCGTATGAGTAATATTTTCCGTTGAAAAATATCACCAGACACTCTTCTTGTAAAACGTCATATTTTAAGCTAGGGAGCAACCATTAAACATAACAATAACAACATAGGTCATAGACCACCAAATTTGAAATTTTCTTAGGATAATGGACACGTCGTCGATCAGCTAATTTTGACATGATAATGTAAAAAAATATTTAAACTAGTACTTGTATGACAAAATTTGGAGTTTATATTTAAAAGAAATGTGAATAAAATAGAAATGAATTATTTGAGATCCTTGACTGGGATCCATGCGTTTATCACCTCCACGACTGATAATAATCTCTCTTGCAACATTTTTTAAAAAATAATCTAGAAAGAGGACAGCCTCTTGATGCCATGAATGTTGCATAATTTATCAGAATTTGTTCATCCGCAGGCTTTAACATACACTCTTCCCCAAATTTTGTAATATAACCCTTGTATTTCCCATTGAAATGGTTCTGTACAGTGGTGTAAGGAAGGCCTAATTCAATAGCTGCTTTACGTATGGAATAGCCCTGGGTCACAAGACGTTTTGCCTCGCTATATATTTGATCTGGGTGGGTCCTCTGAGACCTAGGCATTGCTGACAATATATAATTGAGTGTCACCAAAGGGGAATAATATAGTGGCGTAAAACCAAGGGGGAAAAACCAGTAAAATATAGTGGTTTGAAACCTGTGTTTATATATCCTTTAATTTACTACTTTTTTACTTTTGATATTGTGGACAAAATGTAAAAATATCTAATTATTCTTAGGAAAGCGGAAAATATGTATTTTGGGCAAAATATGCATATATTTAGCATCTTTTCTTAATGGCTGATCCCTGACCTAGATTACTGTAGGAAATTGACCCACCCCCTTCCTGGGAAAAGAGCTAAAAGCTTACTTTATTTTATTATGTAGAAAAAAAAATTGTATAATTATCAAAAGTAGTTATTATTTTGTCATTTTTATATATTTTGTATAAATATTAGAGCTAAGGAGAAAAGATGCACGTACTTTTTTATTGGGTAATTTCTACTTTCACTTCGCCATTGTTTTTAGAATCGTCTGCTGCGTGAATTTTGACCTCACATAAATACTCTTCAGTGGGAGTTTAGTAAAGTACTTACATGTGTTGGAAAAACAAAGCAAAGAAAGTTCGTGTTTTATCAAGTTTATTTGAAAAAGATACAAAAACACAAAATTTTGATCGAGGACCTGGCTGATCGAGGACGTGTCCAATCACTCTACTGTATAACTGACCTATGTTGTCAATTTTATAGTTCCTTATAGTGCCCATTATGGGGCTCATACCTTAATTGCAGATTATTTGTACGCCTACGGAATTATAGCCTGTAGCCGTTGCCAGATTAGTTAAAGTTAATGTAAATAACATAAGCCTATGATAAGGCGCCACTGTTAATTGAGACTTGATGGTATACGGTATTTTTTTCATATATGTAAAAATTGTTTGAAAACCATTTTTATCGTTGTAATATATGTTCCATTCGTGTTTAAATATTAAAATAGTTTTGCTAGAGTGTTTACAAGGGCGTATCACGTTGGGGGCAGGATCTGACCCCCAAGCGTCTGTGGAAAAATGAATGCTACTTTCTATCTTTGTCCAAACGAAAACAAGTTGTATTATGTAGATATTTATTCCTAAACACTTTATGAATGTATCCTACATGTAAAAACAAGATAAAACTAAAATATTACCTCGAAAGTGTCCATATTTGTTGTGTTTACTGCCATGTAAAAAAATACGGCCCTGTCATCTTTCTACGTCATCGCCAACTGTGACGTCATATTTCTCAGCATAATTAATTATGCGATAACGGCTGTTTATAATTAATATGCTTGGCGCAGCTCATTAGTATTCTGACTTCCATAAAAAAATAATAAATAAATATTCTGTACTCATCGCAAAAAAGAACAGATAAAAAAGGTGGTTCAAATAATTGAGGAAGGAATAACCTTTTGGAAATAATGAAAGTAGACCTCTATACCAAAAATAAAAAAAGATTTTTTTAAGAAATAAGAAAAAAGGCTTCTGAGGCATAATGGGCCTTTAAAACTGACGTTTAAAAATTACAAAAGTTAGGCCGTAAACAAAAAGTTGTATATAATTCCGTTTTTAAAGCTCAAATCTGTTATGGTCCGAACTCCGCTAATGTTTAATTTACATATTTTGTAGTTGTCTGAATTGTGTCCATTAGTAAAATATCAAGTCTGTTCAAAATAATTAAATTGGCCAGGTCCGATGGGATACAATAATGTTTCCATTCTAGAACTTTTCGTAAGTTTCAACTTTCACAACAGAAACCAAATGTTAGAAATCGTCGACAAATACTACATTATCATGCAAATCTGACAAGAAATATATATAGAAAGGGGAACTGATTCACTATCTGTTCAGCATTGCTTTGCTTGTAATCGCAGTGTTTACTTTAACTAGCTCCCGAGCACAGACTCACGTGCGAGGAAAAATGTAAATTATAAGAATAGAAAGTTTGAGCAACAAAACGTAGTAAGGCCTATACACTTTAAGCTTGTAAATACAGATTTAACTTTCCGTCTCACAATTTAATTAACAAAATGTCCAGAAATACCGGCAGTGATTTGATATTATTGAGAATAAGTTTCAATTGGAGCCACCAATAAGGGACAATATGTTTCTTTTATGTAGACCCGAAGAATATAACACATTTTTGTAGCCTAGTTTTACAGAATTTGAAGTCATGAATAAGGAGATAATATGTAGGGAAATCATTTCTGAGTAATATATAAAAATAGTTTAAAAAATAAGATCAAATAGAAGGTTATATGAGCTGCGTCATGAAACAACCAACATAATGGGTTTGCGACCAGCATGCATCCAGACCAGTCTGCGCATCCGCGCAGTCTGATCAGGATCCATGCTGTTCGCTATCAGTTTCTCTACTTGTAATAGGGTTGGTAAGCGAACAGCATGGATCTTGATCAGACTGCGCGGATGCGCAGGCTGGTCTGGATCCACGCTGGTCGCAAACCCATTATGTTGGTTTTGTTATGGCGCAGCTCATATGTGAATTAATGAAGGAAGTATCGCGATCCCACCATGCAAAAAATCGAAAATTTAAAAGTTAGAAAGGCGTAGCAAAAACATCCTAATTAGCGGGGGCGCGGGGCGAAGTTTAATAACTAAAACTTAAGAAATTTAAGAAATAAACGGCGGGGACGCAGGGCAAAGTTATATTTGATATTTAATTAGCTTGTTTTCGCCCGGCGACACCGCCAAGTGAAAAGTCAATAATTAACAAGTTAAATGGTGGGACTGCGGAGCCAAAACATGCTTTTTTGCGGGGTGCGGGGCGAAGTTTAATAAATAAAACTTCTCCCCGCGGGGATGCGAAATAAAACGTTGGGGCGCGGCGCAGTTTTATAAAATAAAACTTTACCCCCGCTTTAGCGTGTTTTCTCCATGCGACTCAGCCAAGCGAAAAGTTAAGAATTTTACTTGGCGGGTCGCGCGAGGCGAAAACAGAAAGAACACAAATCCGCCACCATATTTTCCCATTTTTACAGTCATTATTATAATACTTATACATGAACTATTGAGAAAAATTAATGAAATAAAATGCGCATTTTCATTTACCGTATTTTTTCTGTATTTTTTTTTTCTACAGTGAAACTATTTCCCGTTTTTCACTGGAAACTTGCCAGACTACTTTCTTCCGATTACAAACACTAACGTAAGTTCTAATTTATAATTATCATCATCATTATCATTATCTTTGTTATAATTATAATAATAATAATAATAATTATTATTATTATTATTATCAATATTATTATTATTATTATTATTATCATTATAAATAGTTTATAATGGGGGTCTCTATATTACACATGACGCTACAGTACATTCAAAGAAATATGCAAAAAAGATCGAATTTTTCAAACGCATGCTAAACAAACCCATACTCCACCATCAAATTTTGCTTGCCATGTTAATAATACTTTTTTTTGTTTGTTTTTGTTACTTTTTGTAATGGCTACTGTAGATCTATATAAGATATGCAATAATATTTGTTAAAGAAACGAACGAACGGATGAACAACATATGAAATGCGAGTTTAACTATAGTAAACTTTATTCTGCAAACGGACACAAACAATGCTTATCTCAGTGGTTTTAAAACATGGTTTTCATAAATAGATGTGTCAAATTACCGTTTAAATAAAACTGATTATATACTTACAAATGAAATATTGATAAAATAATTTGTGTATTTTCATTTCCGTATTTTTTCATTTCAGTGAAACATATTTCCGTATTTTTACTGCAGCGAAACATATTTTCCGTATTTTTACTGGTATCTTGCCGCACTACTTACAAAGTCTTTCAAACTGTGATGTCAAAAAAGAGAAAAATGTATTAGTAAACAGAACATTTAAGTTTTTTCTATAAATACAGGATTTTTATTATCTCGTGCTGTGAAAATTATTTTATTTTTCATGTGACTACCACCACTAATGAAATATTCATTTTCATACCATTCGATAAAAAGAAATTCTGTATTTATAGAAAAAACTTGAATTTTCTCTATTTATTATTATATGTTAATCGTAATGTCAAAGATGGCACGAATGTTTTGCAACAATAAGATGACGTCAATTAACGACGTCATTTGACAACGTCTCCTAGCAATACCAGAATGAGGGCTGAAAGAGATCCACGATGAACGCTGCAATTTGCCATGACTGAAATGTCCTCACATAAGGTGAGAATCATAAAAGTTGAACCCTCAGATGGTACGGGATCTTTACCCCCAGTGAGGGCTGATACAAAGAAACTTATGGAACAACAGATTATGCTGGCAAATAAAAGAAGTCAAGTTTTTACTTACAAGGGACCAGAAAAGACCAGAAGTCGTTCTGTACCCGACAGAACATTTAAAGAGGTCCAGTTTACGTATGCACGGGAACAGAGTATTCCTAGGACTACAGAGGCGAGATATCGGGATGATTTTTCGGATTCAAGTGACGAAGAGTTAGAAGAGGAAGAAGTAAAACTAACGAATACACAAGAGAGGGAAACAGAAAAACTGGTCGCTTTGGAATACAAAGAAGAAAAACAACGACATTCAATGGCTGTATCAACGAATAAAGGGGTAGATAGTTCAAGCAAGATCATGAAAAACGAAACGGAAAATAAGGTAAATCTCGATTTTCACTTCTTAAGAATTCTCCTTTTTCTCAGCAAAATACTGTTGTACTTAAGGTAAGATCCCTGTAATGGGATCGGGTTTTTCCGTGCCATGTCGACATTCTACGTAATTTATCGGCACATCCGTTATCTCTCGCCCGTTTCCGGAAACAGAAATGATGATATATTAATCCCAGGGGTATCATAACATTTTGTATGAAAATATCAATTTTATAATGTGTAATGTTTATTATGTATTTTATTAGATGTACAAACGTCTCCGCGAGGTGTTTGACATTCATGGAAGATAGATATTATATTATATTATGTTTATGTTTATATTTATATCTATATTTATTTTCATATTCACATCCATATCCATAAAGTGTTCTGCTTACCTTGAAACACTTTCCCTGTACGGATGACCATTTATATCTCTCAGATTCTTCGGATTTATCTTGCCGTTCTAATTACCTTCTTACAAGATGGCGGCTAGGAATCAATTTCGTCTTGTCAGGACTAAATCTCGTACCTTCCAGATACGGTATATTCCGGATTATGGTAACATACCATATGCATACCATACCTCACCACACTCCCCCGACTTTAAAGATGAAGTCCTCTCACCGGAAGTGCGGAAACCCGAGATTCAAGTCCACTCCTGGGTTTCAAACCAGTACCCACAATACCGCCTTTACAGGCGTTGGCCTGTTAACACAGATTATAAGTGGGCAGGCTTAGCCTGTGCAACAGTAATCTGCCAAATGCCTATCTGACAAGTTATTGACAGATAGCTTAACTGGATAACTGATATCTTAGATATCTTACCTTCCTGGGCACTGTTTTAACAGCGGCCAGCGTCCAGTTCCTAAGCCGATTGCAGCTTACACCTCCACACCAAACCTGAGTGTTGACTGCAGATTTATGGAGCTACTTTGTACACCACAGCAGCCGCATTAACACAGAACAAGAAAGCAACAAACTTAGCATTGCACATTTGTACTTGTTAATATCCCAGGCTTCTGTAATTTTCTCAATAAGATCGCCCAACAGCATCAAAGGCACCACAGCTTGCTTTGGCTGTAACCTCTGTTTTCCTTGTATCTTCAGAACAGGACCTGTTGTGCCAACCTGCCCATGACCATCCGTCTTCATGCTGCAAATGCAATTCCACATGTCGTCACATGACTTGCGTAATCCTGACCCCTGCCATACCAGAAGAATGTCTTCTTAAACCTGGCCCTGGTCACTGCAACACCCCTGAGACCACCTGATGGTATATCCTGACTCATCTGAAGAACCTTTCTACTTATTGGGAATCTTACCTTTAGTATAGCCCATGTCCCTCAATAGAACTTAGTCTATTTATAAGCACTGTTCCTTATTCAGCCAGTGGGACTTAGCCCCAGGACCTACTAGAACTACTTAATGACTTTGGCAATACTAAATACCCAGCACTAGCTCTTAGAACTAGCACTGCTGGCGGAAGTTACTCTACAGCTTCTAGCGAAAGTTGTTCCACTACTCAAAACTGTGCCCTATTTCCCCTTCCACCATAAGAGCATCGATCTGTATTCTCAATATCTGCTCACAATCTTACAGCATCTTCAAACACACTAAACTTTAGCACCATTGACCTGATTCTGTGCGTACAACCCCAACATTTGGACATTTGCTTCCTTGTGAACCTTTGCGACCCTTGTGACCTTGGAATTGCCGACGATACAATGGATCCGCAAATCTCTTCCAGATTATCAGCATTATTGCGATGATACCTTATGACTTTCGTCAAACTTCATCTTTCGCACACCTCGTGATACCTGGTTATCGACATTATTGTGATGATACCTTATGACTTGTCACGGTCAAACTTCATCTTCACACACCTTGCAATACCAAGAGAATTGCCACATCTTCGTCCCTCATGACGAGGTCCAAGTCAACCCTTGCGCAATGATCACATCCCCCACAAGGCAGTTTTCCTCAGTTCGACCCCAGAAACATACTCGTACAATGCCCCGATACCGGTATTCGTGACAATGCAGCTTTGACATGCTTCTGACAAACACATAGGATTATGTTGATATAGAACAACCCTCCTCGACCTGGCTTAAACTGTCTGTGTTACTTCTTTCCCAGCAATAACCAAATGAGCCTCGAATTGAACTATTCTGCAACACACTTGCTAATGTTTCTTTACATGCTGTCTACATCGAGAGAATACCTCTTAACCCAAAAAAGTCATTTCGGCTTTTTTGGTAGTTTAAACTTAATTTGGGGAAAAATTTTTTAAATCCAGTAATTTAAACACGAAGTACAGCAAATTTTTACATCCAGCATTTTTCCAAGTTCTTTTCACTTCAAAATTTTTGCCTCTTAATCCCTTTTTTAAATTTTTTCGGGCTCCTAGTTAAAAGAAGCCCTTTTTTTAAAAAAAAAAAAGGGGGTCAAAATTTTTCCCTTCCCCTTTAAAAATTTTTGACAAATTTTTTTTATAAATTTTTCCCCCAACTGAAATATTATTTGGGAAAAACCCGAGATACCCTTTTTTTATCTAAATTCGCCAAAAAGTTTTAGCATCCCAGTTTTTTTATTTATATTTTGGGTGAATTATTAACTATCCGAATATTTCCCGAATTAAGTTTTTTCGGGAAAAAAATTAACCAAATTTTTTGTGAGATTTTTTTTCATTTGGAGAAAGATTTAAAGGCACCTTTTCAGGGGAATGTTTAAGGCAAATTATTCATGGGAAATTTACTAAAATTTTTAAGGGCCAAAAAGGAAAAGCGATTTCAATTTTTTAAAAAATTTGAAAATTAAAAATTTTAAGAAAAATTTTTTTAAAAAAAAACATTATTTAAAAATTAAAAAAATTAATTTAAAATTTTTAAATAATTTTAAAAAAAAAAAGAAAATAAAAAATCAAAAAACCGGGCTTTGTTTTTATTAAAAAAATTTTCCCCCTTTTTAAATAAAAAATGGGGAAAAATTTTTAATATTAAATAAACAAAAAAAATAAAAAGGGCAATTTTATTTTTATTTCCTTAAAAAAAAAAAAATTTTTTATTTATGGGGAAATTCCAAAAATTTTAATAAATTTTTTCAAAAAATTTTTTAAAAAAAGGGAAAGAATTTTTTCCCTTTTGGGAAAAGAATCCAGGGGGAATTATTTCCAAAACCATTTAAATCCGAAATTTTAAAAATTTTAAATTTCCAAAAAATTTTTTAAAAATTAATTTTGTAAAAATTCCAATTAAATTCTAAATACTGCTGTTCAACCAAAACAAAAAATTTTTTTCCCCCCTCAAAATGGTACAAGTTAAGCAAATAAAATTTTTTTTGGGGGGAAAATGTATTTTCCCCCGGAGCTAGATTCCTAAAATTGCTAAATTTAATGTATAATTAAATGGTTCCGAAAACATTTCCCAAATTTTTTCTCCAAATTTCCCTTCTAAAACAAAAAATGTATTCGAAAAGGATTTTAAAGTTAAAACCAAGTTTTAAAAAAAATTTTTGGGGGTTTAAAGTGAAATAAGAATCATTTTTCATTGACGCGCCTATAGTATAACGCTAACATTAAGCGCGTCTTTACACTATGTTTGTATAACGCTAATGACGTCACGTCAAAATATATGCACGGCCGTGCAATACCATATTTACGGAGTCGCAAAATCGGCACGGGTGTGTGATAAAATTATTTTTGCCATCAGGTCAGTAACCTGATATCAAAACTAAGCTCCGCCCATTTTAACAGACTTTTTTCTATTGCTTATATTCCCATATATCAGCATGTGAATTCTACAATATTCAAGATGCGATATTTATGTATTTATTATTTCGATTTCAATTACGAATAAATTAGATAGCGAATAGAACTTTATGAAGTGACGTCATAGTAAATATATTGCACATGACATCATCGATGTTCACGTCATACTATACAATCATAAACAATCAGGCTAGACAATTTTCTTTGAAAACTTGTAAATGTTTACTTTATTTCGCCGGATTATTATTTAAAAAGTAAACAAATGGTTTCGTTTAAAAAATAAGACGCATGTTTGTGTAGCTTGTGTTTGATTGCCGATTTGACTTTTGTTTGATTAAAATTACTGTGAACTTATGGAATTGATAATTCAAGACAAAAGTGCAGTAATTTGAGTAAAGTTTATGTGAATCTTAGGGATTTTTTCGAAAAGACGATCGATGTTTAAAGGTAAGAATCTTATCGTGTTACATTATGTTGTATCTTCTATGACATGAAATAATGTCGAGTCGAAAGAAAAAATGGCCGCCATTTACAAATTCAAAGTTTCAGGGGCGGAAGAATTTGTTTTCAAGAATTATTTCTTTGAACAGAAATGCCCATTTCTAAGAAATTCGCTTTTTGTAGGGGAATAATGAAAAAATATTGTTTTTATGAATTTTTATTGTGCAAATCAACTTGCATTGATATTTTAATGGGTTGTAGCAGGGCCTTCGGGGGTAAGGGGGCCCGGGATAGGCCTAATGTCAGATCACAGCGTCTTCCCCCTGTGGCTCGGCTGATATGGGCAAAAAGAGCTCGGCAAGCCTCGCCCTTTCTAGCCCATATCAGCCTCGCCTGTTAAAATTAATATCAAAAGACAGTAGATCTAGCATGTTATTCTCTATAGTAAATATCATATAATATCATTTCTATATCATATCATACATCATATCATATCATACATCCTATCATATCATACATCATATCATATCGTACAATATATCATGTATATCATACATCACATCACATCGCATCGCATCGCATAGCATCGCATCACATCACATCACATCACATCACATCACATCACATTTTATTTTATTTTATTTTATTCTATTCTATTCTATTCTTTTCTATTCTATTCTATTATATTCTAACACTTTCGGAAATAGTTCTATATAAACAAAGAAGGCCCGAAGCGTGCATTATTCTACATTCTAAAACTCGCGTGTTTTTGTCACTATAGACTAAGAAGGGGAAAAAAACTGGTGTTAAACTGACAATAAACACCGGTTAGGGACTACTGGTATATTCGTTCTGGCTTCCAAAACTTTATAAGCCGCTTTTTAACATTTTTGTTTTTCATCAGATGCGGCATTAAAGTTTTGGATAAGACCCGTAACGAAACCTAACCAGAAGAACATAAGTTTTTCTTGTTTTTCACTTGCAAATACAATTGACCCGATCAATTCTTGTCCATTTTACTGTAAAACAATTATTTAAATATCGTTCTATACCAATTCAAGTAATAAAATATTAATACCGTCATTAAAATTGCCTATTAATTTAACTGTAAAATTTCAATTTTCGCCGACTACAATCGGCCATGACATTCAAGTGCCACGCGAGACCTCGTATGACGTGACGTCATTCGCGGGAACAGATTTGAATAGAGTTGTGTACTATATTTAGAACATTTTGTTGACATGATTTCGATATTTTTTTTCAAGATAATGTTTTTATTTATTTTCATAATTTTTTTTAGTATTTAAATATGATTTTATTGGATATAACAGTCAGTAAATTACCTTTTTCAACATCTTAAAAAAGTAATCTATAAAAATATTGGAGGCACATGGGTTCCTAAAGGTCAATCTCGTAATCACGTGGTCAAACATTGTGGCAAGATGGCGACCAAGTGCCGAAATTTTTACCTCTCGGAAACTATAAGGTAGTTTATGTTCCTAATAAGATATTTATTTGTCCATCCTTTGCTTATCAACAGATTATACATCGTTTTATCAAGGTATGTTTTACTTTACTTCGTGGCATGTTCGATAAATAAATACGAGCGTGTCAGATTCCTGGCACGATTATTGGAGGACTTTCACTACTGGGTTATCCTCAGCGTTCACGTCATGTCATATATATAAACGGGTACGCTGAAGACCTTAAGCTACTTGTATATGCGCTGTTATGTTTTCTACCTCGATTGTATAGTTAGTCCCCTACCGGTTTACCGGAGGGGACTTTAGGTTTACCCTCCGTCCGTCTGTCCGTCCGTCAGTCCGTCCGTCCACAAAACTGGATCCCGCGATAACACAAAAAGTACTGAAAATATTTTAATGAAACTTGGTATATGGATAGATTGCAGTATGGAGATTATGCACGTCTTTTTTTCTTCTTCCTATGTTGAAAATTCTGGTTGCTATGGCAACAAATAGACTGAAAATATGGCAAATTTTACACATAACCTTGATCCCGCAATAACGCAAAAAGTACTGAAATTTTTTTTATGAAACTTGATATATGGATAGATGGCAGTATGGAGATTATGCACGTCTTTTTCTTTTTTTCCTATGCTGAAAATTCTGGTTGCTATGGCAACAAATAGACTGAAAATATGGCAGATTTTACACATAACCTGGATCCAGTGATAACGCAAAAAGTATTGAAAATATTTTTATGAAACTTGACATATGGGTAGATGGCAGTATGGAAATTATGCACATCCTTTTCTTATCTTCCTGTGTCGAAAATTCTGGTTGCTATGGCAACAAATAGACTGAATTTCAAGATTTTTATTCTAGTTTTTAAGTTTTTTCACTATAAGTTCTTTATTTCTTAAGGTATTTTCTTCAAACTTTAAAAATAAGTTGCTAGTCATCAACCACATCATATGTGACAAAGTTTACAACTCTAGCACAAAATTTATCAGAATTACCTCCCTTGAACTTAAAATTTTCATAAAAAAAAACATTGTTTTTTTTAATAACTTTTTTTTTCTGAACGTATCTACTTCAAACTTCATATAAATGTTTCTTATTATCACTCAACATTTGTGAGTGTTGCAAGACTATTTCCAGAATTATGCCCCTTTTGAACTTTTGGTAATTTTTACTCCAACTTCTTCAATCATGATAGAATTTTCTTCAAACTCCCACATCATTATAATATGACAAGGTTTATAAATCTAGCATCCATATTTCCAGAATTATCTCCTCCTTAAACTTTTAATTTTTCCTATTTGTTCTTTTAACTTTCATTTACTTCAATTTCAAAATAAATATTCAATATTCATACCTTCATTACTAATTGTTCTTTGTTACAATCACATCATGTATGACATCGTTATCTCCTTTTTTTTAAAAATTTGCTTTTAGAATGTTATATTTTGATAACAGGGATGTTTAAAAAATAACTTTAGACTGTCCTTCAGTCCATCTGTCTGTTTGTTCACTGTGATCACTTTTAAAGAACATTTTCAACAAATTTACTTAATATAGAAACATAAGTGAATGGCCCTTCATAATGTTGCTTGGGCTCTTACCGGTAGGGGACATATGGATTGCTTGCAATACTATGATAATTGCTTGTTTACAAAGCATTTTAAAGCAACAATAAAAAGCATTTTTATTTATATTTTCAGTTATTATAATGTTTTCTTTTCATACAATACCGAAATAATATCTCACATACACTAACGCCACATATAAGATCCATATCAGTTGATAAATACTTTGACAAAACGGCGCCAATCCGTAAGCAGCGTAAATGACGTCATCGTATGTAAACAACTCTTTCCTAAACAAGTTGACGTTATTTCATAAATACAAGAATGATAAATGGGGCACTGATGTAAACACGAAACGACGTAAGCTTTTATTGTTGAAAACTTGATAAAATAACGTTTTTTTCTTCTTATTTTTTCTTTTGTTTGATAATTTCAATATCTTCGCAACAGTAGGGTGCGAAAAACGAACAGCGTAAATACGAAAACCAGCACCGGAAGTTATTTCCGCTTGTAAAATTAGTTTAGTGATTTTCCTTATTTTATCGTGTTAGAATCGAAATAACATCGGCCGGAGAGGTGTAAATCGGCTATTTAACACCGGTTTTGTCGTTTTGATGCGACAAAATTAACCACTCAGGCCTACGGCCTTCGTGGTCAATTCCTACGCATCAAAACTCCAAACCGGTGTTTATTCGTTCAAATGCTTTGTAAGTAATCACTCAGGCCTATCGGCCTTTGTGATTATATTACTACGCATTTGAACTCAAACCGTGCATTATTCTACAACAATGTACTCGGAATTGATATCTATTTTCTAATTATATCACGGACATTTTTTAAGAATTCTGGCATTCCTAATACAATGGCCTATAAAGGGGTTTTAGTAAGTTATATCGGCAATATCCCGGTATAGTCCTCCCTAGGACTTATCCATTTCTTTTAATGTAAACATATTATATATGAACAATATGTTTGTTGAAATACAGAGCCCATTTAGCATATCTTATTGGTTCTAGAAGAATGTTCATGTTTTTGAATTACTGCTGAATAGCTTTTTTTGTCAATTATAATTGATACTTAAATATTTCGGATTGATTTCATTCTTTTCATGTGAAGGATGATCGAGGAACAAATTAATTTGTTTTGCTGAATTTGAATGGCACATGTTTGAAAACCTTTGAATACAATTAATGTAAGCGACACCATATTTTAATACATGTACTATCTCTATCGGGATTTCTCTTCATTTGAAGGAAAATAAGGAAATTGATAAAAAAGATAAATTGGTAAAGGAAGAAAAGGAAGACATTGCAACCACTACCAAAGAATCTGATCAAGAAAATGACAAGAAGAAGAAGAAAAAGAAGATTAAGCTCCCAAGTTGTTTTGGTTTCATTTCAACTTGGGTTGCCAAAAGGAAGGAGAAACGACGCGAAAAGAAAAGGAAGGCTATAGCTAGCCGCGCTCCCACGCCAACGCTAGGTAAAGGCCCGGTCACACAGCCTTTCGCGTCTGTATCGCGTGTAAAATTTAGCGATTTTTTTTGCCCGCGGTTGCCCGTGGTGGAAAATGTGCAAAATTGGCTTACCCGCGGTTTACCCGTGGTATGCCCGCGGAACAGACACCGGCGACTGTTCCGCGTCCTTATCGCGGGTGAAGTGCGGCGGTACCGCGGCCTAACACGGGTATAATAAAGCAGCCGAACCGGGCTGTAGAAATCATAACCGCTCAAGACACAGTCCCGTGAAGATCTAGCTATGGCACCGGAGAAGAAGCCCACGTCGAGTTCCCTGGCCAAGATGAAGAAGCAGCGTGCGAGCAAGAAGCCGAGGGCGAAGGCAGCAGATGAAGGCAGCCCTGTGCCAGTGGAGGCCGCCAAGAAGCCCAAGGCAGGAGATACAGTCGAGGTGCATTACGGTGACGGGGATCCATGTTCACCCCTTGACGTCTGGAGCACAACTGACGAATGCTCGGCAAATCGCACTTTTTATATACCTAAAACGGACGCGATTAGGCCGTGGACAGTCGTATTTGGGACGTGTACAAGACGCAATTGAACGTGATTAGGCCGGTATTGGGGCGCGCTGTTTACGCGGAGAAAGGCGTTTGTCCTTGCTTACACGCGGTACACACGCTAATGCACGTGATAACAACGCGATACAGACGCGGAACAAACGTGCTATGACCGTGCTCCACCCGCGATTACCCGCTTAAATTTCGCGTCCTACCGCGTGTAACCACGTCTTAACCGCGGCCGTAGCACGTCCTATCACGTTCGTTCCGCGTCTGTACCGCGTCTTTACCGCGTGTGTACCACGTGTACCGCCCGCGATTACCCGCGGTCTTAATTTTTGGGCAGCCCAAAACTTTTTCGCGCGGCTAACCGCGTGTGAATTTCTTACCGCGTGTAACGACGGGTAAAGTACGGCTGTATCGCGTCTTTATCGCGACCTCAAAGCGTCCAACAGGGTCTGCTTCACGGGCAGACATTTTTGGCCTTTATTCGGCCGCGATACGCCCGTGGAGGGCTGTGTGACCGGGCCTTTAGTATTTAGTGCACAAGCACGTCTCACTCGCATTTTGTGACAGAAAAATATATGAATTATGTTTCCTGTTTTGTAAGTTTATTACTTTTAATTACTAAATTAAGTCATACTTTTATTTAAAGAAAAGAAACATGAAATATTCGACAGTGTATTGAGAAGACACGTATTTTTAAAGTATTTAATAACATAATTCATTGGCAATACTATTTCTATTTTAGTTCAATATGAGCATAGAAAAGCACGTGGCGGGGAGTCTTTTACCATTGAAGTAGACTGCAAACCAATAGTTATGAAGCCGATATTGCCGCCAATTAAGAAAGCTGACGGACCTGTAAGTAGAAATCTTAATTTGAATACAACATACTTTATTTGCTTCCGATTGAAAATATTTCTGACGTATAATTGAAATTTTTGATGTAACTGCATTTTTCGCTATATAGTCAGTATATCAAACTGTTAAAATTTCCCCTATAAACGAATCGTGCCTTCGTCCAGACTGAGATTCATTAAAGATGCGTAACTAGCATATTAAGTGTTAAAGACAGTTGAAATTTGCCCTTCGATCTTACCTTAAAGATTCTATATTTTATCTACAGCGTAAAAACTTATATTAAATCTAATGTATATATCCGGCAAAAATTTGCCATGTAAGCAAAGGAAAAAAAACTAACTATGCCGAGTTTGACGAATATACGATGAAATTGTGTATTGCTTAAGGTGACAACAGACACTTTCCGCGGTACTCACATAAATGTCATTTAACCCACGTATTTTTGTAATAATTGTTATTTATTTAATCTTTGTGCATTAAATGTCGTTGATCATCATAAAAAAATAACATATTTGAAAAAAATGCCTTTGTAAATGATTGATTTTTAATAAAAATCCTAAAATTTTAAATCGTCATATCAAAGTCATTTTTTTATTTTTTCGTCATCAAACTTTTGGAAAATAAACATACTTATAATATCTGGGGAACCGTGTCTCAAATTTTTTCTATCTTTTCTCAAAAAAATATTACGTAACGTCAAACATTTTATGCGACTTTTTTCACCATACATATTACGTAATTAATGATAATTAAGTCGCTGATTGAGCAAACAAAAATCCCTGACACAGTTCCCTCCGTAAATGAATTCCCTTTCATGTGCTTTAAACCGCACGTTAATTGCTTGATTATTAAAAAAGTTATGCCGATTCAAAGTTAGTCCGACCCGCATCAAACGAAGTGTCATAAATCGGCTGTTCTTTCTCGGACCCCTACGTTTCACGCTAAATAATTGCATAATACACAAATATCGCACTCGAGAGGGTCACAAGTTGCGGTAACATACTCTAACAACATTTTATGACCCAGTGACATCTGACCAATTAAAAAGTTGCTGATTAATATCAGTTTATAACAGAAATTTCTTCAAATCTTAATGTGATTTACCGTCCGTCTGGTATGTCACGTGTCACATGTCACGTGACTCTCGGTAAAATTTGAGGCACTCGGTGGGGGGAAATGGAACGTAGCGGGGTATTTTGAAGTTTATTATTATTATCATCAGCATTATTATTATATTATACCAGTGTCACTCTGTGTATTCGTTTATGAAATTCTGTTAAAATATAGATTAAAATAACAAAAAACTGAGCTTCTGACGGTCTTTTAAAGTCCTTGGTAGATGTACAAATAAGAACGGGATATTATATATTTTCCTCCAAATTGATATAAATGGTTCACTTATTTTAATAGAAGTAAAAGGTATCACTCGATCACAATGATCTGATCTTCTTGACTTCTATTATCATGAATATCATCTATGCATTAAGCACGGCATAGAGATCCAGTTTCTACTGCGATATACAATAAATTCCATACTTTGTCCCAGGTTTATTAGTACTGTCGAACAATTTATTCAAAGCATTCACTGATAATATATTTTATTATCTTTTCTTATTGATTCATAGAGAAATAATCATCCTTAGACAACCTAAAATGGTTTAGAAATTTGTCAGGGACACCTTACCACAAGTCATATAGGCGTTCACATAAAAAATGTTGTCTGTTTTTGTTGTTGTTTTGCTTGACATTGTTAGAAAACGAGGTTGACTGGAAGCAAGCCCTTGAATCCGTACAGAAGTCCATAAACTCAATGTAATATCTATCAGATTACAACGGGACAGACAAAATATTTTCACACATTATGGATATTTTAGCAACTATATTTTTAATCAACCCCGTGGTCGTGCTATTTGCCGCTATGCTTAATTATTTATGTTTCATAGATAATGTTACGTACATTGGCCGACAATTTCTTATTTTATAAAAAAGGCTAAGTAAAAGGTAAACGATATTCGGTCTTTGTACGATATATGAATTACGAGTAGTATGGACCGGTAATTCACGCATGTATGGAACTACCGATTTCCCTCATTGATGCCTCAACAGGGGGCGGAGTGTTATCGATAATTGACAGGTTACGCGAATAGCAGATAAAAATGGTACAGGCACAGTTTTAAAACGTTTAAAAACACATTTTTTTGGACTAACTGCTTCCAAAATTAAATCACGAATGTGTTCAGAAAAGACGGATAAATCTACTAAGCAAAAAATCTCATTTTAGGTATTTTCAGTGATAATTGACTCCGTTGTCACCTTAAAACATGTAAAATTTCTATAAATTCGCAAGATAAACAGCATAACTATATGGAATAGCCAATAGGCTATGATTTCAAACTGTGGCCTTTTATGTTTAGTTTTTATATCATTACTACAAATATATACAATTTAGACAAAATTGTGAGTTTTCAAAAGGAATGTTAGAGTTTGACTTTAATGTTTGTTACATCTTGACAGATACGACTAGCTTGTGAGGCTCGGCAAGAGAAAGCCGAGGCCAAAAGAAATGAGGAGCTTTCCAAAAAGAAGGTACTGGCAAGAGAGCACCAGAGAAAAAAGTAAGTTCACTTATATTGTCTAACAACCATTTTATTACATATACATTTTATAAATAATAACACAATATAACTTTTTTAAAAGAATGTACACCTAAATTTAAAACAAGAATTATCATATTTCGCACGCACGCTTAGTCATTGTATATTTTCGATGTGTTAAAATTCGTATTATTTACATTACACAAAATATGTATAGCATTAAGTCACACCAGACACTATATCATTTACATCACACCAGATATTCTATTACTTACATATTTACATTACTTCAGATATATGATTTACAGCACACCAGATAAATAAAAGTTACCTTATCATTCATATTACACCAGATACTATATTATTTACATCACACCAGTTATTATACCATTTACATCACATCAGAAACTATATAATTAACATCACACCAAATAATATATTATTTACATCACACCAGATATCATATCATTTACATCACTCCAGATACAATATCATTTACATCACACCAGATACAATATCATTAACATCACACCAGATACTATATCATTTACATCACACCAGATACTATATCATTTACATCACACCAGATACTATATCATTTACATCACACCAGATACTATATCATTTACATCACACCAGATACTATATCATTTACATCACACCAGATACTATATCATTTACATCACACCAGATACTATATCATTTACATCACACCAGATATTATATCATTTACATCACACCAGATACTATATAATTTACATCACACCATATGCAATATCAGTTACATCACACCAGATACTGTATCATTTACATCCCACAAGATTTATATCATTTACATCACACGAGATATTAAATCATTTGAATCATACCAGATACAATATCATTTACATCCCACCAGATACTATATTATTTACATCACACCAGATATTATATCATTTACGTCACGCAAGATACAATAACATCACACCTGATACTATATTATTTACATCACACCAGATATTATATCATTTACATCACACCAGATACTGTATCATTTACATTAACCAGATACTATATCATTAACCTCACACCAGATACTATATCATTTACATTACACAAGATATTATACCATTTACATAACTACATTTATCACACACCCGTGCCGATTTTGCGACTCCGTAAATATGGTATTGCACGGCCGTGCATATATTTTGACGTGACGTCATTAGCGTTATACAAACATTGTGTAGAGACGCGCTAAATGTTAGCGTTATACTGTAGGCGCGTCAATGAAATATGACTCTTATTTCACTTTAAACGGTCTTTATTTTGGGAATGTGATAAATAGAATATTAAATTCGTGTAAGTTCATTACTGTATTTATTGCACTCGTTGAATAAAATAATATTATGCTCGCCAGAGGCTCGCATTATATAATTTTATTCAACTCGTGCAATAAATTCAGTATTGAACTTACACTCATTCAAAATCCTCTATATTCTTTATTACTAACATTACACTATCAAATATATCATTAACATCACACTAGGTACTTTATTTTTACATCACACCAGATACTGTATCATTTACATTACACCAGATACTATATCATTTACATCACACCAGATACTATATTATTTACATCATACCAGATACTATATCATTTACATCACACCAGATACTATATCATTTACATCACACCAGATACTATATCATTCACATCACACCAGATACTATATGATTTACATCACACCAGATACTATATCATTTACATAACACCAGATACTATATCATTTACATCACACAAATTACTGTATCAATAACATCACAACAGAAATATATAATCTTCATTACTCAACGGGATTGATCAAAATACAATTGACACATTTTTTATTGATATTTTTAGGACTGAATGCAAGCAACGAAAGGACGAGTCCGAACACCGGTTTCAGGAAAGAGTTCGACTCACTATCAGATATAGACAGGCAGACGCCGAAAGGAATAGGAGTCGCATGTCGTCTCAAAGAGCCAGTAATAGCCGGATGTCAACCAGAGCAAGAAGCTCACTGGCTGTTTCCTCCTCCTCAGAGTCTGTCGACGAGGGCAATAACAACGCCCTCAAGGTCGGCAGCTCTCACTAGATTTTAGGCCGGCCGACACTCCCTATAAATAGTAGGCCCATACATTTTGCTATTGTCACGTGATTGGAAGTTTTCTTCAAAAAGACTACAAAATTAAACAATTTAATCTCCTTTTCCCAGCTCATTTTTCATTTTATAACGTAAAACTGCTTTTTTTTCATTTAATTATCACATTTTTGTACATATTCGTTTTCAGCCTTTACTTTTGTGATAATTCTATACGAATTTCAAATCATATTGTTTGTAACATATGTCCATTGCCAATTTCTTCATTACCATTTTCTTTAGTTTGTTTTCACTTCCTTCATTTTCAAAATCCTGCTTTGGAAAACAATACAATATACAACAAGTTAATATCATTTCGCGCGTAGTCTTGATGAATTTTTAAATGACCAAATTCTGTGAAATTTCAACACAATAGTAATATTTTTAGCACTATTTTCATAAACAATACAATTTCGGTATACTATTTTATCTAAATGAGAAAACTTTACAAAGTTTACATAAACCTTCCTCAATTGAAAAAATAAAGTATTTGTTTTAAAATCTTTATAACAACCTGACCGTGATGAATATCATCTGCCTTGAACAAAAAAAATACATAAAACAACGAAAACAAGTATCAAATCTACACTTTGACCTTGATTTATCAACGTCAAGTATGATGATACTTACCAAAAAAACATAAAACCACAAAAAGCAAGTATCAAATCTACACATTGACCTTGATTTATCAACGTCAAGTATGATGATACTTACCAAAAAAATCTCATCTCATTTTATCATCCAATCATTCATGTATTCATCAAAAACTCCAAGAAACAAGGCATTGGTCTTTTACTTACAGTTTAAGAAAACTCTAAACCTTTAAAGATACATGTACATTAATTTTCTTATCATCCGTACGTGTACATTGCAATCATTGGTTTGTAACATTTCTAAGTTTCTTTTATTTTCCTTTTTAAAATCTGGATAGTAAAAAGACGCACCTAAATCATTCAGTATATTTTTGGACATTCTCATCTTAGCAACAAGGAAATATATATTTTGGTAACACTGTACATACTATCTTAAATGTTTTTTTATACAAATAGTTTTACATATCTTTTGATAATTCATCATAATTATGTTATAGAAATGATTTTTTTTTCATTTGTATTAACAGTTAAAAACAATATGGCTATAAATATTTTTGATATTCCTTGTTTTATTATTTAATGACTATTCACGTGACATTGCTCTGATATTTCAAGGCATAAAGTCCCTTTGGCCTGCTGTTATAGGGATGTTGTCGGCTGTGGTTTTTGGCATTTCGGCATTTTGTTTTCAAAACTTACAAAATATATCTCCCTCTCAACATTGCACATTTGATATTAAGACTTAAAATAGGTATACCAATAAAATAAATACATCTACTGTTTACTTTACACGTTCTCCTAATACATACATTATATAAATAAAAACAATTTCGGATCACAAAGCATACTGAACTTGCTGTTTTTGTTTTTACTACCATTTTAACTTCTCGGGAATATAAATCATCGTAACAAGTAATCGAGATATCAGAGATCAGAGAGGCTGTGTCATATTGTAAACGTATGTCTGGATGCAGTTCTTTGTATGTTTAAACATTTATAAATTTACTAGTTCTAAAGGCATATTGTTACGCGCTAGCGGTCCTGGTGTCCGGCTGGCCTTGGTATTGTATAACACAATATGCTATAGACAATATAGTGTACGGATGACTGAGTGTGTGAGTGCTCGACCTTGGTATCAGCTCCCCTTATACTGCTCAGTTCACCAGGCTGGTTATCCCAATGCTCCGAGTCCCTTGCAATATTGTCAGGATACAGAACTTAGACTTCAGGGTGAAGGGCAAACACATGGGCTATGGACTTCAGTACTTAATAAAGGGGGGGGGGTCTCAACCAGTATGGGTAAATAATAATTAAAATCTATTTTTATACACAATGACAAAAGACAAGCACTTGATAAAGTATAATCAATTTAATTTTCTGTTAAATCTAAAGCAACCAGAACATGCTCATAAATTAATAACAAAGTTTCATGTTTTAACAACTTGAGTAACACTCATTAAATAAATTATCTACCAACCTATGGCTAACCACTATCTTTACTGAATGCTAAACCCTTGTGCAAGTATATGTATAACTTATAATTTACTGTTCACTGTATATAGAACTTACAAGCCTCAAACTCATATGGCAATGTAATAAATGATTTAAAATGCACAAGTTTACTTAAAGATATTTAGAAAAACTATTATTACTTATCAATGAGAAATCTACAAAAACATTACAAGATTTCTCTTACAAAAATATTTCTTTGAAGATATAAAATCTTTTATTAAACCAAGAAAAATGTACTATTAATAATTTTTGTCTAGTGTCTATTCGCTATTTTGTTAAGTCACACTAACCTTTTAGAAAAATAAATGCTTTAAATTGTTCTTAAAATATAGCTACTAGAGTAACGGGTGCCCAGGCCGAAAAAAATATCTGAAGTCCCAGAACGCAGCAAGACGTCTGGTATTTATACAAAACTGAGTGCTACCGATGTAGCATGCAACAAAATGATGCATAAATGCATCATTCTTGTAGCATAAAACAAGAACGCATCAATGCAGCATTAATGACGTAGCAAAAGCGCGCATCTACTGCAGCAGTGATGCAAACTTAAAATCTTGAATAATCATACCGAGTAGACACTATAAATAATGATAGAAATGTAAGACAAAAATAATTACATGATATGGACGTTTTCTACAGTTTAACAAGCTGGCCATAGCTATCTATTCTTAAATCAAGACAATGTAAACGATACGGAAAAAATATCCTTAGTGCACCGGCGTCCGTAGCAATACAACCGGAAGTTGTCATAACAAAATGGCCGCCTCCTGTACAACAACAATGTGCTAGTGCTTACAAATTAAATCAATAAATTTGGAAGGTTTAACATGGATTTTCAAGAAGTTACTTCACACAATAAAAGAAAACATATGTTATTAACGATTTAAACTGGATTTATCACAAAAAATTCACGGACTAGGATAAACGGAGCAGCAAAAGTGAAAATACAAACTGTTTACATTTTGAACGGAGACAGTGCGATGTAAAAGCTAAGAAATCCTGGCAAAACGCATAGATAGGGCAAGTTGAGCTGAATATTTAAACAGTCCAACTGTCTTGATTTATACGGGAAGCCAGTGAAAGCTGCAAATCCATTTACTGTTACAAAAAGAAAAAAATAACAAAAGGTCACAGAATAGATCTATGAAAATCACCAGGTAAGTATCAGTTACCATTAAATACCGGGGCACTACATTGCAGAATTATAGCTTTATACGCTTAAGGGATCTAAATTAGAACATATGCAAGCTAAAGTTGTGATATTGGGGAGAACACTTATTTTCACTGGTACTTTCAGTTCCTAGCTAGCTCCCTAACATTAAAATACATCTGGCGGGATTCGAACTGACAATGGTGAGGGGGCACTGACGCCTCACATGTACTTATAGCTATGTGATTATGAATCAGATTCTTTCAATATTTCCTAAGCTATTTTCCGGATAAGAGTGATGCAAAAGGATGGACGTATGGAAGCACGGACAATGTACAAGGTGGCGATTATATGCTCTTCCTTTGGGATGTTATTAAAGTTCCCATACGAATTATTATTCATTTGATGATTTTTGAAAGGAAGACAACAAACCCCCACCCTCATCCAAACCGCTCTTAAATTCTTTATTTTTGTCATATTTTAGGTTCATTTTTTTGTGAGTTTGTTTGTTTCATTTTACGCCCTTTCCCAACAATATTTCAGTAAAATAGGCGGGTACTTTCCTAACCATCGTTCCCGGAGGGTTACGCCAGTACTAGATTATCTTCAACTGCGCTAAACTACATAAGCATCTCCCGGGGATCGAACACACGCCAGAGAGGTAACTGGATTAGAAGTCATCGACTCTAACCCCTCGACCATTAGGTACATTAAGAATGATTAAGACAATAAAAATTTAACAAAAAAGAAACGTTTGTTCGTTACACTTTTGTATACATTTGCAGTTTGCTATAACCTATAAACACGATGTATGAAACTTTGCACTGTGGATGATCACGTGGCCAAGGTCGTACAATGGGCTCATAAAATGGCGGCCTGAACGCTCGGTAAAAGCAGTGAAATTGAGGTAAGCATATAGTTAACGTTAAATTTATATGTAAAACTAGGCCGCACGGAACCCCTGTATAAAAACCACGTTCTGTTCTGTTATTGGTTTCTTTGTAGCTCTCTCTGTTTAGACCTGAAAGACGCAAACGTTTTTGGAGAAGAGAACAATGGCCAAACAGGTAGTTAAAAACAAATATCATATTTCTACGATTTCAAAGACAGGAAGTGAGAAACAAGAATGATTCAATGAAAAAGTTGACAAAATAGGACAGGCAATAAAATCGTTCGGACATTGTACTCATTAAATTTGGTCCGACCATTGTACTAGTTTTTTTAAAAAGATGCACAACTTCGTTATGCTGCTTTACAAAGGATGGACATTGTTCATGACGGCAAACTTGCAATGGTGCACAAGATGTCATTGCTAATTTTACTCAAAATGCGTTTCTTTTACTGAAAACATCGCATTTTAGTACCTGTTCGGCAAATTGTACTCATCACCCAAAACAACTTTTTCGACTTTCAGGCCTTAACAGAGAGAGCTACAAAGTAACCAATAACAGAACAGTACGTGGTTTTTACAGAGGGGTTCCGTGCGGCCTAGTTTTACATTAACTGTATGCTTATCTCAATTTCACTGCTTTTACCGAGCGTTCAGGCCGCCATTTTATGAGCCCAGTGTACGATTTTGGTCACGTGATCATCCGCAGTGCTTTGGCGGTTCATCTTCTTACCTATTTTCAACTTACTTTAAGTCTACTTGAAACATACATCTCGTTCCCATTGCACTGTATTTTCCTTCGTTGAAGCATGTCAAGTTGCCACACTGCGTTTTTTTCCGATGAGACATTCCTCTTGTAGCGTAATGTAACGTTTATATAAAAAATCTAGATGAATGCAAACGCATATCAATGGAAATAAGTTGTAGTTAGTCTCCAATTCACGGACAAGGGCAATATTAACGGGTTCAAAGTATATATGCTATTTTCTGTTTAAAGCATAATCTACGGTATCCCATTTTATCCTTATAATAATAGGACATGCTCTTTTATAACATCAAACAGATAAACCGCTGAAACAAAACCATTTTTCTTCTCTAAAGTATCTTTACTGTTTAAGAAAATCGAAAACGTTAATAAAATATTTATAAATTCTAAATTTGAAAACGAATAAAATTATTTTAGTCATTAATTTCTTTAAAGGATTTGTAAAATCAACACGGGCATATAAATACCTGTGTTATTGCATTATGAAATAAAATATTACGGTCAAAATCAGTAGTAGCCAGAAAAAGAATCTAAACTATGATGTGGCGAAAATAATAAATACTGCATTTTGCAATATGCAACAGTCTTGCAAAACTAGACAGGATTTATATAATTGTGATAGTGTCTAATAAATAAGTAAGTTGGGTGTTGATACCTCTATAAATCAATGCTATTTTCGGTACCGTATGGGCAATATGTCGAGAGAAATTAAATTTCTGTAATAAAATTGTCTCGTTTGTTTCAATACTAATTTGATTTCGTGACATCAATACTTTGAGATTTAAATGAGATAAAACATTCAATATACGTTGATATCAAAAACTTCTCTTGATGTTTAATGTTTACAAAACGTTAAAAATGGAAACAGCACGTATTAAAGATAACGTGCTTGGGAAAACATTAAAAGGATCAACCGAACTTTTTTTACTTTATTAAAAAATAAACCAATGTTCTCATTTTAAAACACAGTTTTTCAGTAATAAATATAGGTGAACAAATGTCGTATTACTCCTAACACATAAAATAAATGTATGAATTAGGTACTGTGTTATTAATAAACAGGTAAAAAACTTTTAACATTTTAAAGAGTAATTTATTTAAAAATATTTGTTTTTCTGTTACTACGGTCATAAATACAATGTTTTTTCTGATATGACTATGTTTTTTTACACCATACAAATTTCGATTACTTACCCGTGCCGCTTTTGCGACTTCAAAAACAAAACATGTAGCTTCATGTTTATTGTGTTTTAGAAGATGAATGCCGGACATGTAAGCAGAATTAGTTTAGCAATACTATATAAAGTTTTGTCGATATAATAAGGACGCCAACAAAAATTCCGAAAACTTCCATATAATCAAGGGAACTAAGGGTGTTGGTGCCGTTCTGTATTTTCCGGCACATGACTTTCTGGGACCGTAACCGTTATTACTTGTCTAGCTATGTTTGGAAAAAACTATTGATATATAATCATTCGATATAGAATGAAATGCAATTATAAAAACAAAATATTTTTGGGAAGAAGCATTGTAAACAGAACTCAAGTATTCCATCATAACTAGAAAACAATTTGAAAGAAGGCTGATCTCTCGGAAGCATTAGTCACAAAGTTAAATGGCAATTGCAAAAAAAGTGCAATATCACTCAGGCACACTAGCACCGGCTTGAGCGATTGTCAATTGTCAACATTTATGTGCTGGAAACAATGATTGCGAGGGACAATAAAATAAAACAATACTGAAGTGAAAAATATTAAAATATGTAACAGTGGATTTTTATTCACTAAATATTCAACAGAACGCTCATGTATTAATTATAGATGTAGCATTAGTTTTGTCAATATACTAAATTTTCTTCTAACAATTTTCACGACAAATAATAAACAAACTTCACTACTAATGTTTTTTATCAATAGTGCTATACATTTATAGAGCTGAGTTTTATTATCATATTATCAACATTTTGCACGTTATGTATTGTAAAACATTTTTCTTTCCTTTATATATGTTATGATTAAATTTTATGAGGTCAATATACAAATTTCAATTGTTCGTATTTTCAATGTAACGTATAATATATTGTGAAATTGGCTTTGCTTATTTCCAAATAGTTTATTGTTTACTGCTTCGGGTCGTCCCTGACAGCATTGAATGTTGCTGGTTTCCTAAAAAAGAACTTTTTTATTTTAATGCTTGGAAATATATCACTTTCAACCATAATTTATCATCAAAAAGCATAAAACATATGTTGATGATGCATCTTATGATCTGTTTGTTTTTCACAATGGTAAACTTTGTCCCAAAGAGACTTTAAAATTATATAAATATACTCTACTTAAACTGTTAAATTATATAAATTTACTCTACTTAAACTGTTAAATTAAATTAATATGCTCTACTTAAACTTTTAAATTATATAAATATACTCTACTTAAACAGTTAAATTATATAAATATACTCTACTTAAACTGTTCAATTATATAAATTTACTCTACTTAAACTGTTCAATTATATAAATATACTCTACATAAACTGTTAAATTATATAAATATACTCTACATAAACTGTTAAATTATAGAAAATCAATAAACAGTTTTGTATGTAAAGCATATTGAAATACAGTAATGCTAGGCATTTATTGAAGACATCTCTGCTTTAATGAATTAAACAATAATTACCATTTGAGCTTAAAAATTAGAATAATAATAACACCGATGAGTAGTATCAGAACACCTGTGACGGACCCAGCAATGATGTACGTTCTTTCCTTGTCTTGCATCTCTAATACAAAAAAAACGTAAAATGTCTAATTGAAAAGTCTACAATGTGAGTGTAAGTTTTTAGCATTTAGGTAATATATAATTTGCTTTAAAGTCATAATTGAAAATATTAAGAAACATCAGAAAATAACAATTATAGCAAATGTCAAGACTGTAAAATAGTCAAAAACATCTTGTAGAATGGACGTAGATGCATGGATGTATGTAAAATAACATATTTATGTGTTCATTATCCCAACCTTTTCATAAATGAAGCAAAAACATGATATCATATGTGCTAGATAATACCTTTAGTATTAATTATATAACACATTAGCGTATTCTGGAGAGTATTATAACTAGGAACAAAATATTGAAAATAGTTACCTTGTTTGTTAATATATGTACAAGTATATGAGCCAGGGTTATTAATACATTGCAGCGAAATATTGCATGGCTTTTTGGCACATTCATCGATGTCTTTATGGCAATTTTGTCCCTTCCATCCACGTGCGCACGTGCAATTGTAATACCCTAATGCATTCATGCACGTCGATGAATGTTTACACGGGTTAACCGAACATTCATTTATATCTTGATCACAATTGTTCCCAGTCCAACCAGACAGGCAATTACACGTGTATGATCCCTTTGTATTTATACAAACGGTATTATTTGGGCATGGATTTCTTATACATTCGTTTATGTCAGTCGTACAGTTAATTCCAAGCCATCCCGTAGCACAAATACAACGATGTCCTCTCCCACGTTTTGTACAAACTTCAGTTTCTCGGCACATCGAACTAATGATAATCATATTATTATTGGATTATATTACCCTTTCATTTGAGCCACGTCACGACAAAACCAACATAATGTGTTTGCTATGTAAGCGAACAGCATAGATCCTGATCAGACTGCGCGGATGCGCAGGCTGGTCTGGATCCAAGCTGGTCGCAAACACATTATGTTGGTTTGTCGTGACGCGGCTGACTTGTTGTTTTTTTAATATTACTCTAAACAAACAGTTGTTAATTTAAAAATAAAATATAATATCAGAATATTTCTCAACGTTCTAATGTTAAGAAATGAACTAATGACAAAACAAAACATTTTGAAATGCAAAAGACTGGGTGTGAACAATTAATATCATAAATGAAATTCCATTCTTACTCGTTCAAACATCGGTCCTGACACATTTCTCCGATCCACCCTGGAATGCATTTCCGGTCCGTGGTTGAGTTATCCTTTATTCCGCAATGGGAATGCTCTCCTGACCAACCATCTAAACACTTGCATCTACAAAACGGATTACAAGTTTTTGTTAAGGACTTTTGATTTTTACCTTCTTTTTAATGTCTGTTTCTACTTCCGATAATACTGAATTTTATTAGTCTATGAGTGTTCCATAATACATACAACAAACCCCTTACCATTTGAGAAAATAAGAATCCCGTAAGAAAGCCAAACACGTCAAAATAAAAATAAATGTTGCAGGCTCGGTTTGATTGAGCCTGTTCATTGACGATACAGTCAAGTACAAACTACCGTCCACGCCCCCTAGCACCGGTTTAAGCAGAGTTCAACATTTAAACATCAAATTGTAAAATTTAGAATTTAGAAACATCCGTAGATGTGTTCATACGGCGGTTATCACGGAACCTTTAATGTGACACAGTAGTGCCATTCCTTGAAAAGCGCGTATGTTCCCAAGTAATAAAAAGCGTATGCCATAAACGAGAAACCGAACATGTATTAAACGTATTTTATGAGTTTGTTGATTAAAACAAAACAACCCTCGAATCTTAAACAAACAAATAGAGCTGACCAAACTCACGGCATGTTTTGCAATTGTCAAAACGGTCAGAATTTACAAGATTTCCCTTTCCATTATGTATTACCTGTAGCTTCCAAAACTGTTTAAACAATATCCTCGGTGTAAACATGGGTCACCTAGTCTACATTCATCAAAATCATCCCCACAGGTTATCCCCTTTGTAAGTATAAAAAATTGGACAAATTCAAATTATGAATAGAAAAGGTTATATCTAGATTGCATGAATGTAAAAGTGAAGTGCAAGTACAATTTATTGCATGCATTCATTTATTTATTAATGTTAATTTGATTCTATGTTTTATTTTGGAATTGTTTTGCCTTTTCTGTGGTTCTTAATCAATTTTTATCAAGTACATAAGGCAACTTTCTTTGTCACAAGTTTCGTTTGTTATTCATAATATTAATATAGTTTAAGGTTTTAATTAACTGTAAATGTATTTTTTAGGTATTTTGGATAACTTTCTTTACAACAAACTACATTTATCATTCGTAATAGTATTATCATCAAAATTTTCAACATTATATTCACTATGTTTTGTACTCTATCACAAAAATGTATCATACCGTAAATCCACCAAGACATTGACATCGACTTTCACCATTACTGATATTCCTGCAGGCTGCCTGGTTAAAACATGTCAAGTTTCCACACTCGATCCCATTTTGATTAACTGCTCTTCTCATTACATATAATGAAATACATCATATTATTGTTTGGCAAATTTGACCTAAGACTCTTTTACTTTCGGAAGGTTTTTCGTTAGTTTCCGTAATTTGTTATGGTTTACGCTAAGGATTTTTAGGATACTATAGATATTGATACTTAAATCAACAAATACTGCCCGATGGCCAAGTGGTAAGAATGACAGAATTGTTTCCTTTTTTTTTATTGAAATATACAAAGTCGAACAATAAGTAACTAGCATGCATGAAACGAGTCAAGTTTTGTAAAATATGATACAAAAATCATATAAGTCTTACACCTTATCTCTGGGGCTAATTTAGCAAGTGTTATGATGATAATTCTAAATAAAATACGTTCTGCTGTACCATACATTAAAATTGGTGTACTTCAGAATCCGATAAATACTAACAAAAGGCCGTTGAATATTCAAATGCCTTAGGTCAGTATTGCTTAACAATATATAGAAATATATTTGGAAAATTATTTTATTTATGTAAACTGAAAATAGTCAATCAAATAATGTTTGCAAACAACAAACTCCATCTCTTTTTATTTGAGTCGTAGCTTTGCATCTTTTAAAAAAAGAAGTAACCGTTAGAATGCGAAAATTTATAATGACATGATAAACGATAAGAGGTTATGAATCTTATTTGTTTCCGATCATCAGTCTAAGTCTTCCCTTGATATCAAAAACTTGCGGCTATATGCTTTTTTTACAGTAAATAATCTAATATGTACATGCAAGTTTATTTTGTGTCTTGCAGAAGGCGTTCCTAATTTTAAGAATAAAGTATTTTGTTTGATTTCTGAAATAAAATGATTGTTCACAAAACACCTTAAACACCAATATTGCAATAGTACCAATGAAATGTTGAAAAAAGAAAGATATGATTGATGTTGATTTTATAATTGACGGCGAGCAATGGAATCCAAACAATAAATAAATAGTATTACAAGAAGAAAAAAAGAAATCACCTATAGCAGATAAGTATAAAACTAACACAGATTGTAATTTCAATTGGTCTATCTCTTGAAATGAAATTCTATGTAAAAATGAATGCACTTACTTTGAAAATTGCACTAACCAAAGGATCCAAGTTAATACTTTAATCATAGTTTTTTTTCTTTGGTCTTAACAGATTCACTTATGATCAGACATGTAATATCATAGTTCAACAAATCTTTCTTGTGTCAGGTTAAGACGTAAGCACAATATTGGCACCTTTATCAAATATCAATTAAATATATAAATTTCAATATGACTGTATTGACCTAAATGAAACTTGTTTGAATGTTTGTGATAAAAGTAGACATAATAAGATAGTGTGATTTATTTGAAAAACGCATGCCGTCACTACTCTGTAAACGACATAGTTTTACACTGTATTTCAATTGATTCCAAATGAGCTGTATCTCTATATCCCCTCAGGTCCAATAAAACTATGCAAAAATCAGTCTTGTAAGTTTAATATTTGAAAAAAAAAACGAACAAGTGAAATATTTAAAATCAATCAAAATAAAGATTGAGGACTTGTAGATATTTGCTATTCAAGTCAATAATGGTTATCATTAAGCAGATTGAAAAATACATAGTAGTGATTAAAAAGAATACAATCTTACGGTAGAGTGTGACATTACCAAAGGGTCTAATTTATGTTACGCATTATTAGCTTTTGATTAACTTTTTGTCATAGATATTGTACATACCGAATAAATAAAACTTAAAATCTTAAATTGATAATTTGTATATAATATACGAAATAAGCACATTTTATACGGTATTGCAAACACCCTGTATTTTATTATTTATGATATAAATAAGATCTAGTAACAACCTGTTAAGTAGACATGTTGACTGTTGTCGACACGTTTTACACGATATCTGATAGCTATTGTCTATATTTTTTCACACATAAATGACAAATTTCAGTTAAGCATGCAACAATTACAACCTTGGCGACCCTTTTTAGCGTTAAACAATGGATAAGCCTTATGTTTTTTAAGGTAAGATTCGGCATTATCCACAACCGGGCTTCTGTGTACTAGTTAAAGAATTCGGTCTCATTATGCTCATAACATTACATGTATCTAATTTTCTAACCACCATGCAGTATGATTGACCGGCAGCCTGATAAAGTCAAATCGGACTGTTAACACTCTAGAAAGGTTGCCTTATTTCAATCTTGTAAAAGACATTGCTATCGCTTAGATAATGATCACAAAAATACCCATTCTTGTTATTTCATCTATACATATATTTCGTAAGTATACGTTAACTTTTCTCAGTTAGTGCATGTCACTGAAATCAGGTACAGTATTGTCATATCTTAGATATTTTGTAAACTCTACACCAAATATCGAAATTCAGAGAATTCTTTACTTTTAGATTTGATTAAATTTCCAGAAAGCGTAAAGTTGTTTATATCTGTGTTTGAAATGTAGTTGTAGCGGCGTTTCCCAGTTTGCGAATTTAGCATTGAAATGAACCGCTTCATCATGAGACAGATTCTTTTTTATTCAATTTTCATCTCTCATCATCGATTCAGATTTAAAACAAATACGTTTCAAATAGATATAAGTTCTAGAAATCAAAATAAAAATGAAATCAGATCAAAACATTTGTAACTAAAGAAAATATAGGATATTTTTTCTGCGAGGCAGCTCTGTTGTCAAAGAGATAATAATGTCGCCAATGAGATAGTTCTATAGTTACGTACAAAGTATCTGATTGTGTATAATTTATTCATTACATTTATTACGGCGCACAAATCTGATATAAAAAAAACAACAATATTATAATAGTGTAATAACTACGTGCATAAGGAATTTCCTTACCTCTCTGTAAGTTATATTATTTGGTTTTAGAAATTCATATCTATATTGCTCACAGTAGGAGTATATATATTTGTAAGCAAACACAAAGTCCTTTATATGTTTGTATTAATCCTAGAGCTGCTTGTGTTTTCAATGCGTTCACTATAAAACATGCCTTCTTTAAAATACGAGTTAAATTTTTTAATATAATAAACTTTGTTTAAATTCGACACAAATGCAAATTGGTTTGGTTACAATTTGGTTTGTTAAGCGTTTGACATACTAAATTTTTTATTGTCACTTTTATTTAAATTTATAGGCATGTCTGGTAACAGGCTGTATATTGTGATATGATCAAGGTAAGGTACTTTTTTGGTCCTATTCTGCGTTGCTATTGTGATATTTGTAGTTATGAAATACAAATGGTGTAAGTCGGCATTTGCAGGAACAACATTTAGGTAGACCATGGGTAATGCATTTCTTCCACTTTGAAGGGTATACAAATATTCTAGAATTACTTGACGACTACACTGAAATTTTGGGGCGTGGAATCAAAGCCCATAACATTATTTATGTATCTCTCAGATCCCTTATGGAAGAAAAAAGTGTTTTGATTTTAACTTTATAATTATTGTAGGTATTTATTTGCTAAATAATGCCAAATTTAATAGCAAATAAGATACCATTGTTTTAAAGTTTAATAAAAAAAAAACACGCACTGCATAAGTCTTTTATATTTTGCATGATAAAATTTTAAGAAACTTTAAGCAAATTCTGAAAACAATCCCTCATTTTAGGGATATTTTGAGTAAGGGTTTTTATATAAGGAAAGGGTCAGATTAGTGTTTAAAGTGGGTTGTTACAGACTCAATCAAACCGAGTCTGCAATTCTTATGTTATTTTGTTGTGATTAATGCTTCCGAGGGATCACTTTGTTTCCAGAATTTTGGGTAGGGTAACATTTTCTATATGTGAAAAACATTTTGTTTAGAAACAATCATTTCGCTCGTGTACTTTGTTATCTGAATGCTATTTTTGTTTCTTAACAATGAGCAATAGGAAAACGCATTTCATAATGATGATATTATAGATTATTCAGAGTTTCCTCATTTCTGAAAAAAAAAACACTTCTACTAGCAAAGTTTTAGTTCAGAAATATATCTATAACTCAAAAAACACACGGTAAATTTTATTTAAATTTTGCATACAGGTGACGTTTAAGACAGACCTATTGTTTTATTGACGTAAACAGTACATTTTTGTCCAACATTTTAAATATACACACAAACTTATTTGTGTCAAGTGATCAAATAAAGTTCAAACAATAATTACATTTTTATCACAAAATAAATACAGATATTACAAGGAGAATGAATCAGCAACTTACACTGTCTAGTTTAAGACACATAACTGTCCTTTATTGTCAATTTTACAGATCCTTATATTGCCCATAACACATGGTCTATAGACAGAGGAATTCCGAGGAATTCCGTTTTTCGTGATTTACCCCACGTGGGTGTGTCAGTTCTGTGATAGAATTTTGATGCTCAGCCTAAAACGGATACGATCGAGATTCTGTGGGACCCACTAAGACCGGGGTTGTCGGTAGTACACCGCTCCCCGGTGATACCCTTACGCCTTGTCCCAGGCTAAGCAAGGCGAACGGTCGCGAAGTTTTACCAATGCATGTCGGTTTCCAATACATTATTTACTTTCGTGACACATACACCTCAGAGTAAGCAGGTGTCATGGTCCTCTCAGGCCATAATCCTTACCATCTCTCCTGTAAGAGGTATGCATCGGGGTATCTGTGATTTGGTATCACCTATTACGATGCGCCTCTTGAGGCCCGCTTTCGCGGTTCCAGTCGTTAGCTTGACGTACATGCGATGCATGCACCAGGTGACCCTTCCCATTCCACGTCTAATCCTGGAGATCAAACCTTCGGAGCATCACGAGTTTACCGGTGAACATACATCCGACCCTTCGATCTTCGGAGTCATCTACGAAAACTCGGTGGACAAACACCCGGCATCCCTCTCAGGAGTGATGGAATGTTTCGGACACAACCTAGCACAAGGAGGTCGCATAGTCTTCCCGACTCCCACTTGGACCTAGATCCGGAGGTGACTGGCATTAGAGGAGGTTCAAACAACTGCGCGGGTGCCTGCTGAGCTGCAGGGCACTTCGACCTCTGCTTGGCTGATCAACCCCCATTAAGAGAGTCAGGCTTAAGCAAGTTAGATATACACCTAATTACTCGACGTGACAAACATGAAAATAATGTTTGAACCTTGACAATGTTATATGTTATTATTTGAAATGCTAATGCATCCTTAGAAATAACTCAAGTTATTGTTAACAGTCACGAGGCAGTTTTAAATAGTGTAGCATTTTTATTCATAGCACTTGTCAACAAATATGTTTATTTATTACAAATTGTCTGAACAGGGACAGATTTGTTACTTATTTTATCTTACTCGTTTACTCGTTTGCTTGAATTGCCATTAAAGTAAGGTAGAAAAGTACAAGCACATCATATTGTAAAAGAAAATAAATATGATCCGCACCCATATATTATTTTATTATTATTTAAAAGATCTGCTGACGGTATATACAGGAACATTTAGCCTGAATATATGTGATCCGACGCGCCAAGGTTATTTATTTATTTTTTTGTAGGGAGACCATATTCTTCCGTATATCTAGTCAGCAGGATATAAGTTAATATATACATGTTAAGTCAACTTAAGACTAATTCATCGATCTGCGGAAATATACGCTTTTGAACTGCTACCCACACGGTACGCAATCAAAAGAAATTAAAGTGCATAAAGTCATCATTGCGATGTAACTTTTTACTATTTTATTTTAAGTTATGATGTTATAATCAAGAAATATGCCACCAAGAAACAAGAAAGTGTGCTACATTCATTAGAAATTGATATAGAAATCGTAGCCAAAGAATAGATTGCCTGTCACACACTGTAATAGCTATTTATGGTAATGTAATATATGTCTGTACTCATCCATACATGTAACACATAAATTTTCACAAAAATCAGATGTTTTTTATTCTTAAACAATATTTTAAAGTATATATTTGTTATTATAACACGTGACACTTTTTTACGTTAAAATTCTGAATCAAGCTTGATTATATGCTTGTGATTTGCCAGATCAGAATTATTAAAGGCTTGCAAGTTGCATATTTTCCTTAAGTGTTCAAATGAACAGAAATGCTTACTTTAAAATAAGAAGTGCTGGCTTCACTGGCTAAAAATAAATAAAATTAGGCCCTTACTTTAAGCATTCGATTCAGTGATTTATCTATACACGCAGTTATATTTGTTTTGTATCTCAATAAGTTGGCACAAGATAAACTTGAAAATTTCAATTAATTGCCTAATTTATTACAACTTCCAAAATTATCTTGAAGTTCGTAAACTAGTAACAATGACAAGGAATAGAGACATATCAATGTATAACATTATTTCCGATGTCAACATTATTTTGCATATTTGTCTTTGAAAAAAATGGTACCATTTATACAATTAAATTTATGTCTTTCTTAAAGCTAATGCGCTGTTTGATAGTAAGTAACAATAATCTATGTGTATTACTTACCTCCATTCAGTTTATTAAAGACTTTCTACCCATCATGAAAATAAGATTTCGTAAGGATTATGTTTATTAATTTACTTAGAAATAGAATAACATGTGTACATGTTTTTTTTATACTACTTGATGTTTTTTTCTTAAAGCATGCACTTATGTACCTCACTGCTTATATAATATTTCTTTATAAATAACGAATATTGGAGAGCTTTCTATTGATTTATTTTTAATTTCTTTGTTGGGACTTTTTAGTACGAGAAAAAGGACCATGTCAAAGAGAAATAAATAGTAACGTTAACTTAAATATCATGTATAACAAAACTTTAATTAGAAACAAGAGGAAATACAAAACCTTTTTAAAAAAAAAACGACTACATGGCATTTGACATGCGTCAACAATGCAAATGATGGACTGTGTGAAAGGGATACAAGACGAGTACATACACATACTCCCACGATCGCGCACAAACATACATACATATATACACGCACCGCGCACGCAGAAGAAAACCTGACTAGCAAGATGTGTGTGTTACTTATACGAAAACATTTTTGACTCACAGTTCAATTTGCATCAATGTATACGAAAACAACCAGCAATGAATCCGAAAATAATGACTTAGGCTATGAAGTTTTTTTGCCTTGTATATAAATGACTGCAATTTTGACTTGCATATTTTGACAGTTTTTGTAATTTACGTGGATTGTAAGTGCCGTTTCAAAAGTTTGACGAAAATAAGTATAATTTTGCCGGCATGATGCTTAATCAACTTGTTCTTTAAATCAAATTATCTATATTGTAATACAAGGGTAAATTCAGAAAAAGTTATTTAAAATTTTGTTTTAAATATTAGCAAAAGGGAAAGCGATGATTTCTTTATTGCGTCTGGAAGTAAAGCGCCCTTAACACACCAATTTATCGAATAATGGGCTTATTTATTACAGTTTATTTCAGTTTTACAAACACGTCTCTCTTTAATGTCCGCACATATTGAAGTTGATATATTGACATGATAAAGAAAAGCACATCACATTTATAACACTCGTTAACAAACATAGATTGTGCAGATGAAATGAGCTTTTAAAAATCCCTATCGGTTGCAACGCATATTCATTAACAATTTGAGGAAAGACAATGTTAGATATTGCGGCTTAACGTTATTTGCCACGAATAAACTATGTTGACATGGTTTTCATTTATGCTTATTTTCTTTGCATTTGCCGAGGTAAGCTATGTTCTTGTTTCAAGAGTATGCCATTTAGAAATTCATTTGTTCTATTTATTTTAAATATATCATAGTACGTAAAAAATAATATTTTCTAGTTATTAAATAAGCAGAAAATATTGGTTTAAAATTGTTTTGAAATGTATATCTATCTTATTTGTTCATGCACGTGAACATGTTTTTTACCTACTTAGATTACAACAGAAGTGAATTTATTTCCTTCTCAAGGATTTATACAATGTGGAAACTGGACTTGTTTTAACAAAGCACAGTGTAGGAACGAACACGACTGGTGGACATACATGTCAATGCCGTTCTGGTTATCTTGTAAATTATGTTTTGTTTTTTAGTTTGCAAATGGTATTGTAGTATTTAAAAGTCCCATATTTATATTATTTATATATATCAAAATTTCGTTGAGACATATTTAGGGAAAATGTTATACATGTATATGTTTACACTCACCAACAGAAATTTTCATAAGCAATACACTCATTTTGTATTCTGCTTGATTTAAATAATATTGTTGTATCTATTCTAACAACATTCGTGTACGTTGTAAATTGCATACAAATCTACAAATTTTACTTTGTACAGGAGCCAACATGTCGTGATGATTTTGATGAATGTAGCAGGGGCGACCCATGTCTCCATCGAGGACATTGTATAAACAGTATAGGAAGCTACAAGTATAATATTTATGTCATCGCAGAAAACGTGGTTTGAATTAAAATTTTATAGACTTGGAACCTAGAAGGTAATATTAGTTATTGTATTTATGAGGTTATATGACGAATTATTTAAATGTAATCGATCTCCTTAATAACTACCATTTTGATATTTTTCGATAAAGTGGCACGTAAAAGTTAAAATAATCTACTTTTATTATTTTGAACATACTTTTTATCTAGATGTCAATGTCTGCAAGGCTGGTCTGGACACGATCATTGTGAAAATATAATCAATACAACTAGCAATCGTCTGTGCATGCCCGGATGGATAGGAGAGATGTGCCAAGATAAATGTCTCAACGAGTAATATATATTTATTTTAAGGTATCATTGAGATACAAGTACATTTATAAAATGAGTACCCTAAAAAGCAGTAAAATGTTCAATCGTTCAGTGATCTAAAAGAAAATGCTTTACGTCTTTTAACATATGTGCAGTATATTTAATTCAGATACAACTCGACAATATCAAAACAATGGTTTCCGGACAAAAATAAGAGTTAGGAATGAGATATTGTAATTATACTTGGTGTAAAGCAAGTTTATATGAAGATCCGACTGAAATTGCATTCGGGCATACTGGGGTCAAGGTCAATGTCACCGTTACTAAAAATAGAAATATGGTTTCCAGAAAATAACTAGAGTTAGGAATGAGCTATTGTAATCAAACTTTGTATAATGCAAGCTTATGTGAAGACCCAGGTTGGTATTACAATAAATTGATTTACGGACGCAGTTGATACTTCAATTACTATAGAGTTCAAATTTTTCTTCAATCCACTTATATTTTAAAAAGTCAAACTTGCTGGTAAGAGTATGAATCACGTTCAGTGATAGCTCTTGTAACTTTAGGATTTTTTTACATTTCTCATCAATCATTATAATAGTTAATAGTTAATAAAAAACGGAGTATGCAACTTTTGAGAAAGTAAAGTTTTCTATTCTTAATGAACATAATTAAAGAGTATACATAGGTGTAACGAGTTTCATAGAGTTATTTCATATAACTAATTAAATGTATGTTTGCAACTTTATTATACATGTAGCTCAATGTGCCAAAATGCTGGAGTATGCACGAAACGTGGAAGGGGACATCAGTGCACTTGTGCACAGGAATGGACTGGGACACACTGTACAACTGATATTGACGAATGTACTTCAAAACCATGCTTAAATAACCATACAGTTTGTAGAAACACACCCGGTTCTTATCAGTGCAATTGTTTGTCTGGCTGGGCAGGCATTAATTGTTCTTTAGACATCGACGAATGTCTCTCAAATCCTTGTCAACATTCTGGTAAATGCAAGAACGCACCGGGTAACTATAATTGTACATGCGCAGTTGGTTGGAAAGGCGTTAATTGCTCTAAAGATATCGATGAATGCAAGTCAAGTCCTTGTTCAACTAGGAAACATTGCGATAATACTATTGGGTCATTTAAATGTACATGTAATGAAGGATGGAATGGCGCTAAATGTGAGGTAGACATAGGTGAGTGAAAATCATCCCCATTTTTGCATTTAGCGACATGTGAAAATACACTTGGATCTTACATATGTCATTGTAACGATGACTGGTTTGGCTTGATCTGTGAATTAAATAAAAAAAACAGCTTTTTTTCTTTTAGAAATGTTAATGGATATTTTATTTGATTATGCAAAATAAGATGTATTAATTAAAAATTTGTTCGATTAATTGATTAACCATTGGTTGACTGATTGATAGGGTGATTGGTGAAAACAGAAAAAAAACAATATCTAAATCTTTCAAAAATATACATTTATCTCATATATTCATATACTTACTTTTTAATTATTGCTTCAGCACAATACTGTGATATAGTAACATACATGTACAATGTACCATGGCACGTGGACATACTTATATTACTAATTAAGACATCGTTACAAACCAAATCATACTGAATAATACATCGTACGAGTATGATCCAGCAAAAGGTTTTTTTCTTCAGTTGTTTAATGGGAGCATTAATGTTTATATAGTAATGATAAACAATTAAACTTTAATTGCCCCATGTTAAAGTTCCAATAGGTATAGCGATTATTGTGTGAGAATAGTTGTAGTAAATATTTGTATTTTAGATCTAGTTTCAAATGTGAGAAGAACGTACACTATTGTTGGCATTGCTCTTTGTTCGGTACTCCTATTATCTAGTGTCGTCGTATTAATTGGACTCATCAAATTTAAATGGTAATCTTTTTTTAGCTTTTCCATGATATTTTATATACGAGTACATGTAATGCAATTATGAATGTGTTACCGTAAGCAGTGCATTCTATTTAAGCTATATTTCATAAAATGTAAAAAGCTTTCAATTTATCCACGCATCTGCTTAAATTCAAAACTTTGTTAAGTGGGACTATTGTACATTTCTATATGAAAGAAACATTTCATTCTAGGCATTATTTAATGATTAAGATTCCATGCCCACACAAGGGAAAAGCTCTTTTTAACATAAAAAAATGGTCTATTTCTGTCATGGTGTCGAATGTTAGTGATTTAAATTTTATACAATTTATATAGATGTCTACGTAAAGTAGAACTGCTAATAATTATTGTTAATGTTTCTGTTTGTTCATAAAGTTTATTTCTTTCGTAGTGGCAAAGATCGCGGGAATACTACAAAGAGTTCAGACAAACCGAATACGCAAGTGCAACAAATAATTCATAATCAACGATATATGCACACAAAAAGTACAAATCAGCAATACTGTCAACCGGAGTATCATTTGAACCAGCATCAAACTTTGCAATTACACGTTCATGTGCATCAGCTCCAACAAGTCCAAGACACACAGCAAAATGAAGAAAGAAAAAGAGAATGCCAGGACATTCAGGAACGTGAGCTACAACAAGAGGAGCTGCAGGAGGAAGAGGTGCATCGGTCAAAGTATTGGTTGCGAAAATTAAATAGATACTTTTTACGGATAACAAATCCTCTCTGGCGTTATTAACTTTTCATCACGTTGTAAACCTTTGCTTACCTATTTATGACATTTGATGAATAAACACAAACAATATGTACAGATTTTATCGTTGTACAAATGTATCAGATTCCTCATAAAGTATTGTCAAAACTGACGATAAGTTGAATAACTTTAATGTTTTAGGTTGAATATGATTTTACTTTTAGAATACTTGAATATATAAATGAATGTTTTTGTACAACTATAATTGCGTTTAAAGTTTTACACACAATGACCACCATTGGTATGTCAATTAAGAACTGTGTGAATAAAAAGACACTTATATCACACATGTCTAAAGATTTATTTTTATTGTTAGTTTGTGCCATACAATGAAAAATACCGGAATCAACAATGACCGCTTATAACGACAAAACCGAAACTGTTATAAGCTTGGTTTCATTGCGCTTGTTCATTAACAGAGGTGTAATGGACAAACCAGCGCCCATGTCCTTTATCATCGGCTTAAGTCAAACATGGAAATGTAAAGTATATGAATTTAGAAGCATATATGCAGATATGTGTAAAGTGTTAATGTAAATTGTCTTCATATTTTCAACAGAATAGAGAATAGACCGCAACAAACACGTGATTGGTCCAAAATGATTTTTTCTTTTATATAATTATTTAATAAACAAAGGTCCACAGTTTATTCCATCTTCACTTCATTTTGTTGAGTTACATTAAATATCAACAGTAAAAAAGCCTTTTTGATTTTGAAATAGTCATAAACATACGTTGGAAATTAGACAAAATCCGATTAGTTTCCAATTATTAGATTGAGATTTATATAATACCTTTTTTTATACTTTTAAAACATTTCTTTCTGAATGAAACGTTTGTTAATAAGGGATAAGACACTATAATAGTGATGTTTGTGCAAGTCTCCTGGTATGGTATATTATTTACAGGCAATGGTGTCGATTTTCAAACGAATAATATATTTCATTACATGTACTGTATATGTTTGCCACTCGATCTTTCAAAGTGAATGAAAATTATAATAAACTGCAAACCCAAAACAGTATGAAATTTGCCAAATTTACAAAATCACAAAATTTATTCAAAGATCTGAAACGTTCAAATGTTCTTTACTGGTGTATGAGTACGTTATTTAAATTGTATAATATTTTAATACAAAATGTGAAGTTCTTAACTCAAAATACACATTTGGATTGCTAATGTTATTGATGAAGACATGTGTCGGTGTGTGTTTGTCTTATTCACTGTCAAAATATTATTCAACTATACTGATTATTATGACATCTTCGTCCGTTCCTTGTTACTTATGCCCGTTGTGAAATGTGAAACTAAAAGAAGCTTTAGCTGACACATGTAAACTAAGACCAAACTTGTTTTAGCAATGCGTCATTAGAAAATCTGTCAACCATTCCTACCGAAAAGAAAACTGATTTTGCTTAGTTCTTTTACGTTTACTTTCAGAATGGGCATTCTATATATGAAAGTTAAAAAATGTGTATACTAGACATTACGCATTATGATGTTCAGGGACTTTTATGAGATATGAACTACAACATTACCATATAGACAATATTAT